AATAAATATTTATAGTTTATAAATTAGGCTTTTTAGGCTAGGAAATTATTTATAATAACTACTAGATTATTTTATATAACTTGTATTTCTTTTAAAAATTCTATTTATATATTAATATTAATATTTATATATCTTATTACGAGTTACTTAGACTAATAAATATATATATATAAGGAAATAGCTTTACTATATAAGTAAATAGACTAAAAGATATAATAATAAAATTAGAAGCCTTATTAGTTATTTTATTATATAAAAATATAGTATATATTATATAACTAGCTATATATATAATATATACTATAATATTACTTTTTTTTTCTAGCTAGGCTCGTTCCCGAGTTATTATAGGACTTAAATACTTTACTTTTAAAAGAGCTCTTTAATACTTATATAATTAATTATAATCTTATTTAAACTTAGAATTAATTTACTAATTAAATACTCTTATTATAAAATAATAAGTAATATAGGATCTAGCTAGTTACTTATTAAGTAATCTCAGAATACTAATTAGTTTTAGCTATATAGCCTTACTAAATAATAATATATTACTTAATCTCAAATATATAAAAACCGAGAACTTTATTATTTTATTATAAGTTATTTAGACTAATAAATATATATATAAGAAAATAGTTTTATTATATAAGTAAATAGATTAAAAGATATAATAATAAGATTAGAAGCCTTATAAGCTATTTTATTATATAAAAATATAATATATATTATATAACTAGCTATATATATAATATATATTATAATATATTTATAAATATATATATATAAAAGCAAACTATATTATAATTATAATTATAGCTATAAATAATAAAATTATCTAATATATATCTATTATATAAGTTTATATAAGGCTATTTAGTAGCTATTAGAATTTTTATTTATTTAATATTTTATAATTTATTTTAATAAAAAAAATAGTTTACTTTTTAAATAATATTTCTTTTATAGCTCTAGTTATAAAAACTATAAATACTTATTTAATACTAATAGCTTTCTTTAAATATAATACTATATATAAGAATAACTAAAAATATTTATATTTCGAGTTTCTAATTAAGTTTATATAAGTTCTAAAAACCCGGAAATAAAAATATTATTAATAAAATAATAATAAATAAATTAGCTATATATATTATTATAGCCTTATTTTAAATAAGTAATACTATTTACGGCTTTTATTTATAGTTATTTATAGCCTATAATTCTTTATAAATCTGTATTTAGTTAAGAATATTTATTATCTAATATATTAAATTATTTATATTATTTATAATTTAATAAAAAATAACTAGAAATAGTATTAATATTTTAATAAGATTATTCTTTTTATACTTATAGGTAATTTATAAATATTATTCTTAACTAGCCTTTATTAGTAGCTAATTATAGATTTATTAGTAATCTAGAACTAGTATAAATACTATTTCTATAATAATTTCTAATATTAGCTTACTTATAATAATAATTTCCTATTTCTATTTCTTTTTATTTATATATAGGCTTATAAACTAGTAGTAATTACTTATAAACTATAGGCTTTTATTTTTTATCTAAAATTAGACTAATAAATACTATTTCTTATTTTTATTATATATTTTCAAAAACTAGATATTATATATAATTATAATATAAAGCTAATTTAATTCTAATTAGTAATTATATTTTATAAAAATTATTATAGTTATTAAATTAGATTTATAAATAGTTTATTTTTATTTATAAAAGCTAGGAAATATAAATAAAATATTCTTATATAAAATACTTTACTATTACTTTTATAAATAAGAGCAAATAGTTCTTTATATAATATTTATAAGTATTATAGCTTTCTTATTATTAAATAAATATATATTTTATTTCTAGTTTAAAATTCTAATTAAGCTTTATAAATTATTTATAAGTTTTATTATAAAATAAAGTATTTTTAAATAGATTTTCTAATTTATAGATCTTATTATCTAGAATAAAATACTAATATAATATAAGTATTACTTTAAGATTATTTACTAGTTTTTAATAAATTTATAATTTATAATAAATAATATTTTCTTTAGAGAAATACTTATAATTCTTAATAGAAACTTTATTTAGATTCTTCTAATTATATTATATAATTTATAAACTAATATTATTACTATATATTTTTAATAATTATTTATTTAGTTATAGCTTAAATAGCTTTATTTATAGACTAATATACGAGTTTATAAAAGTAAGAATAGCTAGGAATTTATTTACTAGATTAATAAATTACCTAATAATCTAGACTCTAATATAATAATAATAATTCCGGACTATATAAACTAACTAGTATTAATTATAAATCTAATTAGCTATATTTATTTTCTAGATCTTTTCTTCCGGGCTATTATAAATCTATTAATTTTTTATAAATAATATTTTTTAATTATATTAAATATTATAGTTTTAAAGCTTAATATTTATATTCTTAGATATTTACTAGGCTAATTATAAATATACTAATTAGTAAATTCCCTAGATATAAATAAGTTTTTAGGTAATAACTTATATAAGCTATTTATAAAATAGTTATAAAGTATTAATCTTTTTTTCTTACTATTATCTTAGTTTATTCTTAAGATTAGGGCTCTAGTACTATTTTTATAAAACTTATATTTATAAAAAGATTTATATAATAAAACCCAAATAATAATTATAAGCTTATAAATATATTATATTAAGGCCTATTTATTTAAAAAGAATTTTAATAGCTAGTTATAGGTAATTCTATAAATTAAGCTATTTATTATAGATATTAGCTTAGAAATTACTTTTTTCCAGAAATAATTCCCGGTTTATTTATATTTTATAATAATTATTAATAAGTTATAAGAATAATTCTTTTATATTATTAGTTTAGATCTATAAATATCTATATTTACTTATAAGTTATTTTATATAAAAATTTCTCATATATTATTTATAAAAGATTTAAATATTTTAGGATTTAAATAAATTGAGAATATTATATTATTAGATATTAAAAATATTTTTTTTTCTAGATAATTCTTTATAGGATTTATAACTTTCTCTCTTTTTTTTCTTTCTTTCTCTTTCTCTCTTTCTTTCTCTTTTTCTCTTTCTTCTTTTCTTCCTTTTTTCTTTATTTTTCTCTATTTTCTAATATTAGTACTAAATAATTTATTTATTTATTTTCTTTTAATATCTTTATTTTCTTTTTATAAAAAGCTATTAGCTTTTTATAAAGTTTAATAAAATAATATATTTTCTAAAAAAGAATAAATAAGTAATAATAATAAGTAATAATAATATAATAGGCTATTTATATATTAGTTATAATTTATAATAAATATATATATATAAAAATAAATTACTAGAAATAACCTAAATATTTATATAATTACTAGTAATAATCCGGGAAAATAAAAGAGAATTAATAAAAGCAAGACTAGGGCTAGTAGTAATACCTAAAAATATTTATTAAATTAGTTATAATTTATAAAATATTATATAAAAGTATTTATAAAAGAAGTAATAAATACCTTTATTATTATAATAATAGTTAATATAGCTTTTATTATATATATTATTTATATACCCGATTTACTAGTATAATATATATATCTAGTAAGGTAAATTTAACTAATAAATTAGCTAAGCTTAATCTCTAGATTAATAGGCCAGGCAAAATTAGTAATATAGCCGGGCTATAAAACAGGTATATAGTAGGTAGTAAGGAAAGAGAAAGAGGTTATAGTATAAGTAAGGCAGGATAAGAGAGCAGGCAGGGCAGGAGGGGCAGACGGTAATAATAGTAGTAGGCTAGTAATAAAGTTTATTATTATAGTAGTAATAATAGTAGTAAATAGTAGAGAAGATATTCTATGACTATAAGAAGTATTATAGGCCAGGGGCAGGCCCGTAGTAAGTATAGGAATTAACTTATATATATATATATATATTTATTAAAGAAAAGAAGCTTTAGAATTCGAAATTAAACCCTATCTTATTTAGCTTACCTGGAAAATTTTTAGCCTTCAAAAAGTGAATTTTCAAAGTGAATTTAAAGTTAGTAAAGCTAATATCCCTTAAATAAGTGCCTGAGGCATCTAATTAATCTCGAATCGAGATCAGGGCCGCTTCGCTAAAATTAAAGCCTGGCGGCCCTACGCAAGCTTCGGGGCCAATCTTTAATTTTGCCCTGATCTCGTCTCTCCAGGGCAACACATATATCTACTCTCACACTCCTTCCATATTTATTATTGCGTCTTCCTCTCTGTAACGATATACCCTCAGCGTCTCTTCTATCTGATCTGTAAGTTTCAATGGCTAGAGCCTGCCTGCAACCCCCGGAACTGACAACTACGGTTGTACAGCCTTGTCCTGCGAATCTACCTCTACGAGTCTGCCTATAGCTGGCGTCAACTTTCTCCACGATTTACGCACGTCGCCGCCTCACCTTTGTTGGTATTATATATAAATTCCTGTCCTATCGTCTGCGGCCCTATTCTACGAACAATTGGCAACACAGCGGTTGTCAGCTTCGCAGCCTTATCGCATAATCTCCCAAATGAAGGAGCGATCGTCAATCAGAGACATACCATTCTAGAAGCACCTAGACCTCGGCCTATTGTTATATCTTTAAACTCGTATTTGGTCCCGACCAAAAATTAATTGAGCTTCTACTGACTTTCCTAGCTTTCGATCATATCCCCGCGGACAAGTTGCCACCCGTGTCACGATTTTTACAAACGGTCTGTCAACTTGCATCTGCTAGAGGGACATATCGCGGCACTCTGCACCCGTCACTCGAGTTGTTCCGGACTCGCCCATGAAGGGCCGATACCATTCCCGACCGAGTAACGAGGCTGTCCCTGAAGAGGGTTGGGTGTCTCACGTTGCCTGTAAGTGTAACTCTACTGAATGCGACGTTTAAACGGGCGCTGATGATATCAACAGGTGTCTGACGAGCGGATATGGACTGAGATCCTGCTAACATGAGTACCGCGGGAACGACGTCCCCGTCCATCCTCAGCAGCGACGAAGAGCGAAATTCATCCAGCAGTAGCCCCAATACGATACTTACCGATGACAGTTCTACGAATATACCACCTACTCTTGATGATAGCAGCCGATGGCAATGCCACATAGACCTCGAAGCATTCGGGCGGGGTCTGAACGCGGCAGCGAAAGCCGTCTTTCCTAATACGTCGAGAACCAGATACAAAAAGGTTTCAGTCTTACTGTTGCGCTGGGAGGACGAGGATCCAAAGTTACCAGTATCCATTGAAATTGAAAAGTTGAATGACGTCTTCGAAAACAATTACGGCTTCGACACTGAGGTTTGGAGAATTACAGGACAGAACTCTCACGCAAAGCTAAATCAGAAGATTCTGAATCTCATTGACACGGACGATGATCCTAAGGATCATCTATTTATAGTGTACTATGGAGGACATGCAAGGTTGACACATGATCGCCTGCTATCTTGGACAAGGTTTGTTGAACAAGTCTTCACTTTCTCAAGATCGACAAGGCTAATGGACCGCTACAGCTGGAGAGTAAACCACGACAAAAAATATCTAACCGTGCAATGGAGTGGTATCTAGAATGTGTTGGAGCAAGCAGAAAGTGACGTTCTCATATTGCTGGATTGCTGTCACTCTGCAACAGCTACAACGAGTGCAGGCAACGGAGTCACCGAGATGATTTCAGCATGTGCTTACAATGTTATCGCAAATGGAGTTGGATATTACTCTTTTACTAATGAGCTCACGATAGAGCTTCGAGATCTTGCAAACAGACCTTCATTTCCCGTGGCAGATTTGTTTCGGAACATTTTTAGTAGGATCCAAGCCCGCAGACCAGAGGACGGGAGGAACGGCACCCTGCGCCAGTCCATTTCTCGCTTACTCAAGACAACCCTCAGTTTCCGCGTAGTATACAACTTTCGGTTCGCCCGGGGCACATCGACAAAACTAAAGGTCTCAGTGGAGATTCTTGCGTGTGCATTCAATCCGATGAGCCAAATTCCGGGCACTCTTTTGAAAACAGCCGAGAACCGACTTTGTCAGCCCAGGCGCCACGAATACTGTTAGCTCTCCGTCTAAGAGATGATTACCGGAGTGGAGAGCTGTCCATAGATCGATTCAAGGACTGGCTTAAAGACATGCCAGCTGCCGCAGAAGAGGTGAAAATTGAAGCCGGTTATGGAAGCTTCTCTTCGATCCTCATTATTTCAATCCCTATAAACCTGTCTCTCTACATTCCCCAGGATCCGGCAATTATCAAAATTGGGCCTGTCACGTCTCAAAATCTTCTAAATGAATCCAGATCAATCCAAAGACAAGCTCAAAGGGAATGGAAGCCTGTTTCGCTTCCACCAATTCAAAATATCATCAGCTCAATATTGCAACCAGCTTTCCCAGCGTTTTCGCAGCTTTCGCAAGGCTGGGCCATCAGGAGAAATTGGTACTTATTGTTCGTAAGTGATTTCGAACCCGCATTTCTCACTGCCAGGCTAATTAGCAACCATTAGAGTGAACTGTGTTCTGTTCGGTACCAGTGTATCTTGCTCGCAGAGGCCGTCGGACCAATTTTCAAGATCGCCGTGGACCCAGGTTTGGCACAAATTCCTGAGGCATCGATACCGGTATCGATAGTAGAGGTATTAGTCAGGTATCGCAAGGAATCGATAGTATCGATACTCGTTTGGCCGGGCTCACCTGGTCCTCGCTTAGCACGCTTACCAGGTGAGGGAGGGCAATACGCAAAAACCAGCAATACGCAAATGTAAAACCCTACCAAAAATCAATTATTCGCACATGATTTTGGGAGTAACCGCACGTAATTAATAACTCGTTAAGAAGTAGAAATAGTTTCTTAATACTAAAACTTCTCCCCTCTAAAATTTAGAGCCAAAAATCCGTGGTTATGGGGGTGTCAAATTTCCCCATACAAATTTTTGCGGTGATTTGCGTATTGCTGGTTTTTGCGTATTGCCCTCCCTCACCTGGTAAGCGTGCTAAGCGAGAACCAGAATCGATTCTTACCCCAAAAATTAACTCTTTCTTTTATTATTTAAATTATATAATAATATATTATTATATAATTCCTTTAATTTTTAGTCTTTCTATTGAAAGAATTACTTACTATTATTAATAAAAGTTAATATCTTAAATTTAAAATAGCTCTCGTATTCGGAGAATTAAGCCCCGTATTCGTATTTCTTATTAAGACGCTAAATATATAAGCGAGCCTTACGAAAATCTCAAAAGCTCATTTTTACTTAAAATAGCCGTATTGAGATAAGTTATAGTCTAAAATATAAGATAAGTAGCTAAATAGAAAGCCTAAATTAAGTAGAGTATCTGTACTACTAAAAGTTTTCTTATAAGAGAAGTGGTTCTAAAGTTAATTGTAATCAAAGGGGGGAATTGGGTTCGGGGAATCGATACTGGTATTGATACTATCGATACCGGAAATTAAGGAATTTTTGCCAAGCCTGCGTAGACCTAACCTCAGAATGTGGGATTATAAAGATCACAGTAATAACAGTATCGCTATTATTAGCGATCGCCGTCATTCTGGGGTTGAAACACTACTGCACTTTCAAGATCTGTCGCCCGCTTGCGGAAATAGCAGGTTTCTGGATCAGGCGGACTCAAAGACTACTCTCATCATTGAATGATTACATCACTAGTAACAAGATTCCTATACTAGAGGCTCCTTCTAGTCCCGACAGTGCTCTTGATCCTAATAATGATTCCGGCAACGCGGACAGCGATGGAAAGAAGCTGCGAAGTAGCCTCGTGGAAGTCTTCAGTGAGATAACCCGCAGCCAATCTTTACCCATTCAGTTCTAGCTTGACTGACTTCTCAAAATAGCGCAACTTCCCGCCTCACTAAATACAATGCCTATGCCCGTGCTTTACGAGGTTATGAGAGTTTTCCTCCACACGGGCGTGTCGATGTCCGATCTCATATTCCCAGCGGAGCTTGATTGCAAAGATTATAATTGTCTTTGGCAGTTTTTGAAAGCTCACCCAGCTCTCCGAGGGAAGGTATTCCCCACAAGGTGTGGGAAGGATGTGTGGGCGGCTTCATTGAATGGTTTTCTCTGCCGCTCTAGAGGAGTTGTCCTATCTGGATCACTGAGCTTCAGTACCGGCGGCAGCTCGCTATTTCAATTCAGGCTGGGACCGATGCAGCTTGATCGTCAGCATCGCCTTGGAAGGCGACTGGGTAATGATCGTTTCCTAGAAATTGATATGCCTCAATTGAAGGGTAGACATATTCCAAGTGTCATGAAGAGGCTGGGAGAAGAGTGTCGTGCTATGGTTATCGAATGGCTAGTCGACAGTGACCACTCTATCTTCGGTAGGATCTGGAAGCCATTTTTCGTTAAACCCAAGAAGGAAACACAGCATCAAAAACCAAGGGGCGACCTCCCAGACGACGGAGGCCCAGGATACTTGGTTTATTTCTTTGCCGTCGATGGCCCTGGATTTACTGACTTTTCCGATCATACCCCTCCGCTTGGAGCCAAGGATTTTAAATTTGATATTCCCAGGCTTCTTAATCTAATCAGGCCGACCGGGGAGAATACCACGGAAAGCTTCCTGAAGCTTTTCGCTCGGACTCCTTTAGGTAATTACCCATGGACGATTTTAAGCATATAGTTAACAGATTTCTAGCGCTATCAAGAAACACAGCGACTGTCTTGCTCGAACAATCTCAAATTCACGAGAAGGAAGACTTAATCTTTGGTCCCACAAATGAGGTTATCACAAACGGGGCAGGCCGTATCTCATTGGCACTTGCTCTTAAAGTTTCTGCTCTTCTCAGCCTCGGCTACCTCCCGAGTGGCTACCAAGGCCGCATTGGATCCGCGAAGGGCTTTTGGATGGTCAACTTTGACGACAGGAGTAGAGAAGAATGGATTGAGACTTACAAGTCTCAACGGAAATGGAAACAAAGCACTAAAAAGAATAGGGAGTCAGACGACCCGAGCCATAGGACTTTCGAGGTCTTGGCATTCCCTGGTCCCTTGAAATCTGCCGATCTCAATACACAGCTCTTACCTATCCTCATGAACAGGGCCGTCGACAAGCGACAGATGAAAGACACCATATCAAAACTGCTAGAGCAAAGTCTTGCTGAGGAGCTGAAATCTCTTAAATCGGCGATGGACTGTCCGAAATTGTTGCGCAAATGGATTCACGAAAATAGATCAGGTACAAGTGAAAGACTCAATCTCGGCGCAGTACCTTATTGAGCTGGTCTGCCGACCTCAATTGACGAGACGCTAAATGTAATGCTCGACGGTGGTTTCGAACCAAACAGTTTGCTCTTTATGAAAGATATGGCTCGCACGGTCTTTCGATCTAAGTGCGACGAGCTAAAAACAAGGCTCAATATTACCGTCGGCAAATCTGCGTATGTTTATATGGTTCCGGATTTCTTGGGCGTATTGGAGCCGAATGAGGTTTACATCGACTTCTCCAACTTTACTGACGATGTTTCGGGGTTCCCCGGGGCGTTGCTGCAAGACGGGGAAAGTATTCTGTTGGCATGTGTGCCCGCACATCTCCCTAGTGATATTCAGAAAGTCAAGTTCGTGGCCAAAGCTGAATATATAAACCTCAAAGATGTCATCGTGTGTCCGATAAAAGGCAACCAATCCCTTGCTTCAAAATTATCGGGTGGTGATTACGACGGAGATATTGCATGGATTACCTGGGAGTCGAGCATAGTTGAAAATTTCACAAATGCCAGTGTGCCGCTACTGCGTGATTTCGTGAAGGAAGGATACATCCATGAAGATACAAGAACATATGGGAAACTCGTTGAAGGTCAAGCGAATTCTGAGTCTGTGTTTTTGAAGGAATCTTGCTCCTTTGCGATGCGACCGACTTTGTTAGGCACTTGTACTAACTGGATGGAGAACCTCCTGACCGTTGTTCGGCTTGACAGTCAGGAAGCCGTTAATTCGAGTACATTGTTGAGCTATCTTGTCGACCAAGACAAATCTGGGTATATCTTTGAGGAAGAGGATTGGACTCGATTTAGGACGGAAGTAATCAAGAAGAACCCGAAACCGCCAGGCTATAGACGCGATGACCTAGAAGGATCCATCAAAGACCACTTGATAAAAGTAGCTGAAAGATTGACTGAGGCATCGAAAACAGACCTTCATGAGAGTATTGATGACCCTCCATCGTGGGACGAGGATCTTGTGCGTTTTTACAACTAGGCGCAAGACAAAACTCTACAAAACCTCGAATACAAGACGATTCTGGATCAGCTAGACGAAGAGCTAAAGGCTCTGAAAACTCGATGGTCTGCCTACTGGCAAGCAAAACCAAAGACAGATCCGAACGACGAAACAAGAGGGGAGTTTTACTCCATCCTTGATGAATGCTTCGAGAAGTACTCTGCGATCCTATTGGAAAGTAATCGATTTATTAATGGAAAATCGATATATTAAAGGTTAATAGACTATAGAATAACTAGATATAGAAGAGTGAGTTATAGAAACAGAGGAAAAGTATCCAAAGTAAGGGATTTATTCCCATTACCCTTCGGCGATACCAGTAATACCGAGCCCGCTTTCTCCAATACATTATCAATCAGCTAATAAATCAAAGGTAATCAAAATAACGATATATTAGTAAGCTTGGTAAGCTCGGCGAGTGACGCATGACAAATGAGAGTGGAGAACTCTAAATTAGTGGTTGAACCTGGTACTGGAAGGACTGGTAAGCTAGCTATGGTAGCGTACCAATTTCAACAGATCCGACTACGCATGGACATGCCATTGGCGCAACTCTTGCTCCCCAATTGTCTGCCAAATTCGGAACTCTCGCATTGGTCAATGCTCAAAGCTTCAGCTCTTTTCGCCTCCTATAGCCCGAAGAACGTCACGAAGGATGTGACAAGGTTTGCGTGGCTAATGGCGGGAAAGCAACTCATAATGCTAAAAGCATATTTCCGTGGTGAAGGAGGATTCCCGAACACGATTGTTCCTGAAATGTATGCGATATTGAAGCCAGACGCAACCTTTCTGAGATTGAGGGGGGAGAATGGGAAGATCTTATTGAAAAAGTAAATTGGGATTCAGCGTAAGGAGTTGCTCTTTGGTAATCGTCGACAATCTTACTCATCAATTGGATATCTAGTTGATCAATGCCCTGCTGTATGACTGCTACTGAACAAAGAGGCGGAGAGATTGGGGTTGGCTGGTGATGGTTAGTGATTGATGATGGGATGGCGGAGGAGCAAACTTGAATGCTACAGTATACGGGATAAATACTCCAGAGAATGCTATTGAACCCCGAAGCGTGTTTGTTGCATTCTACTCTATGTGTGAATGAATAGGGCTATATAAAGGGTGTTGAAGCTAGAATAACCAATTTGTTACCGTGTTTCCACTCTTAATTGGCCTGCAAATGTCTTCAGATCAACTGGATGATATTTTATGGTACACGATTCCTTGTGGCGGAATAATTTGGCCTTTCCTAAAATTTTGATATTTCAATGATTATAAGCCATTTGCTACCTACCGTAGTTCTAAAACCTCGCAAGATTGGTTCGATTATGGTCTAATGAGCCCGTATTCTTAGAATGCTATTTTCTGCATGGAGTGATTTAAGTTTGATTTGATGCCCCCACTAACCTTGAGACATAGCGAAATTTCGTAACTATCTTCAAACTTGTTACCATTTTGGTTGGAGAAAGCAGCGAGGGTGACAGCTCGACGTCTCTTATACCCCGCGGAAAGCGGTAGGTGGTTTGTTGCGTGGTAAGCAGTGCCTTTCACGTGACAAACGATCACGTGCACGAAACTCACTCGTATTTAGCGCTGGACCGCCTAGTCTCGTCTTCTCTTCTTCATCATTATCTTATTGTTATTACAATTATAACTCTGACAAGCTCAATAGAATAACATAGTCGCTAGCGGACACTGTACTTTTGAAACCCATTGTAGCTTGCAATACGGAAATAATGGTCTTATTGTATTGCATAATTGGTGGAAAGGTGGGAAGGAGCCAAGTATCCTTGTGAGTGCAACAGGAACAGCGGATCAAAAAGTGACCTCAAGTCGAAGAATCAAAGGCGTACCTATAAATTCGAACTCACAACGCAATGTAAAACGCAATTTTTCAGCTTGAATTCTTTCTTTGGAGTAAACGCCATGCATATATTGCGCACTAATATTTCAATCATTTAAAACGCGCCGCGGAACTGATCCAGAAGCTGTCTCCCCAGCGTCCTTCTTCTCCCCACCTCGCCACCCAATCTCCCATCTGAGCCCGTAGCCATAGCAGCATTCGTATTCTCGCCCTCCAATCTCCTTCTCAAACCCTCGAAATCCTCCCCTCTCTTCCTCGGCCGTATCCCTACCATCCACCCGGGAATTCTCCATCGTATGGCAGCTGCAGGCAATACCTCATTCCTCCACGAATAACCCACCACCCATCCCGCAACCGCACATAATAGTGAGCCTGGAAACTGCGAGAGCGCTAGTTGGGCAGCTGGTAGGTAAACGTAAGATTTGTCTGAGAAGGTGAGGCCCACAAACGGCTCATTCGCGGGAGGAGAAGGGGATGCCGCTATCCGATATTTATAGACGTGTGGGATCGCTGCGTGATATTGTGCCAGAATGGCAAATATAAGGGGCGTACATCCTGCGGGGATGTAGTTGAAGTTGTTCAAAGAGAGCGGTCGGAGAATTAGGGCGAGGAGCATGGGTGGTAGGAGGGTCGTGAAGCAGAAGCTGAGAATGACGAAAGACTACACTATTATCAACAATTGAGCTCCCAGAAGGTTGGAGAAAGCTTACGGCGTATTTACGGCTTCCCCATAACCGTTCTATTACTCGCATGTTGTAGATTGTCATTGTGGCAAACAGCACTTCGGTTGAATTGGTGTAGCACAACTGATATGTGAATATGCGCCATAGCTGATGGTACCGCCACAGATGCGGATCAACTTGGATGTAGAAATAGTGCTTGACGTCTGTGACGCTTGCCAGAATCGATGCGGCGACGATGCCGTAGGCAAGGCTGCGAGACACAGGTGCGTCTGCGAAGCCGGTTGAAAGCATGGTTCGCGAAGGGGATTGCGAGACGGCAGCTCAGGTATGATCATCGAAGCATCCTAACGTCTGGAATCCAGATAATTTCCGGAGATGGGAATGCGCAAAGTTGATGTCGACGAGAAAAGAGAGGAGCGTTGTTGTTTTTAGTAGCCTCTCACCCTACGATGTAGCGTGGCCAAATGAATTCGCGAGGCTGCTCGGAACAATTCCTTGGGGCTGATGTGGCTTCGTCCTCAACCGTTTGCCCCGAAGTCCAGGTTGCCTGACAACTCGCACCATGTGCTAAGTTTGATAATACAAGTCTTTCTAGTATCAACTGTTTTGTCTACAGCTTCACATAAATTCATTCGTACAGACAATTCCCTCCGAACGCAAAGAATAAGCACGGTCTACGCAACAGTTGAGAAGCTCGCCATGCGCTCCCCACACCTCACGCAGCTACGCAAATGGATGCTAGAATCACCGCCGGTGGAATGGGGGATAAATCATGTTCGAGAACTCTTGATTGGAGCTATGCGACAAGGTCCAATACCACAGCATGTTGCGTTCGTGATGGATGGGAATAGACGTTTTGCCAGGAGCCATAAGATCGAGACAGTTGAAGGCCATAATTTGGGATTCGAAGCTTTAGCCAGGGTTTGAACACAAGGTCCAATCCATTTCGGGCTTCAGTTAATTCTTGACTAGATACTCGAGGTCTGCTACAAGTCCGGAGTCAAGGTGGTTACGGTCTATGCGTTCAGTATTGAGAACTTCAAGCGGTCCAAATATGAGGTTGACGCTCTTATGGAGATGGCCAAAATCAAGCTGTTCCAATTATCTCAACACGGGGAGTTGCTGGACAGATATGGAGCGAGCGTCCGAGTGTTGGGCCAACGGGACTTGGTCAAGGAGGACGTCTTGGAGGCTATTGACAAAGCCGTGGAGTTGACGAAACATAACGGGGAGTGAGTTGACACGTAAGGAGGGCCTGATGAGAAGCTAATATTGGACAGCTGTGCCCTCAATATCTGTTTCCCATACACATCCAGGGATGAGATCACCACGGCGATCCGAACTACCGTGGAAGACTACTCAAAACCACTACCTGCACATGCACGGCCATTCTCTCAGACACGTATCACACAAAAAATCCGGTCACGAAATCTCAGCACTTCACCTCTCCGCGCCAGCTCACCTACGCCTTCCAGTACGTCCGACGTCGATGACTCCATATCATCCTCCACGACATTAAACCCAGAGTCACCGCCAAATGACAGCAGAGAGAGCGCTGTGTACCTGGATCCCGAGACGATTACCTCAGATACAATCGGAGGCCACATGTTCACGGCCAACGATCCACCACTGGATCTTCTTATTCGCACGAGTGGGGTCAAGAGACTAAGTGACTTCATGCTATGGCAGTGTCACGAGGACACCGAAATCGTGTTCCTAGATTGCTTGTGGCCCGAGTTCGATTTATGGCAGTTCTTGCCGGTTTTGGTCGAATGGCAATGGAGGCAGAAACATATCGAGGACAAGTCATCGATTATCGGAGTCAAGACCATGAAGACGAAGATCAGATAGAAATGCTAGAAGAAAATGCTCGCCTACTTAGCGCTTTGAGGGAAAGGAGTTGGATTTCTCGACACTCGTCAGGCTCTCGTGGGGTTGCTGGAGTCGAGGGTGTGTATTATATCTGTTAGAGGTTCAATAAACCTAGAACAAAATCATACACATGATTGTCCATACCATGAACAAATTGTGTATGGGGGCTCGCGGCGCACGTAAGAAGGGGCTCTAAATGTACGAAGTCCAGTGGGTCGATTCCACTTCTCCCACTCCTGATATTTTCAGGAACTCTCGTCCATTCAATGACACTTCATAAATTTTGAAAGCTTTAGAGAATTCACCTCTTCTCTTCTCAAAGTTGAGGTCATTGTCTAACCGTAACTAGGGATAACGAAAAGCTGCTTTTTATAAACAGCACGAGGGTGGGTTCAGAGATGTGCAAGAATTCAGTGGCTTGCTGACTATGCATTTTCAACAAAACGAGGCTCGGGTCCGGCGATTTGAGATTCCACGTGACATCTTATCGGTGTCATGTGATCTGGCAGAAAGCTTCACCGCCTTACTCTCAGGGCCATGATCCTGCCCTGTGCCGTGGACACCCTCCTCTTCTCCCAGCTTTCATAGCGGCCATCTGGAGAGTCAAAGTGCCTTGCCGTCCCTCGCCATACAGCTCAATGTAATTCAACACCTAGAACACCACTCTCGGCCTGTCTAGACGCAATTTTCGCGTGTCGCACAACACCTCGCCCAGCTCCTCGTTGTCCAAGAAAACACCTCCGCACGCAATCCCACACAACGGCGATGAAGACGTCAAAACCACCTGCCTCCGACCCCTCATCGAGTCGCAGAGCCCAGCCTTTACGTCAGACTCGAAACAATCCTCCTCGGGCCTCAATCTCAGGCGCTCGACCCTTTGGCCCACGAGGGTCCATCAGCGGCGGGCTAGAAGAACAATCGATCGAGATCTTTCCCGCGATCACACACTTCGCAGATGCAATCACGGCTCTGCCCAAGGAACTTGTGCGACACTTTACACTCCTCAAAGAAGTTGATGCGAAGATCTTTGCTCCGGAAGAAGATCTGGGCAAGCTGGTCGACGCCGCGCTTAACGCCCCTCCACTCCAGCGACCACAAGCAATCGAGACACAGAATGCTCACGGCCTAACATCTGCCCCTATGAGCGCACAAGGCAGTATCAATGGCTCAGTCACAAATGGACAAGTTGGCTCGGTGACCTCTGCTCCTGACGCCGTTGACGTTTACAATGCCGCGAACTTGGTTTACGAGCCTAGCAACATCCAGCGTCGACAACTTTTCCAACACTGCGCGTACACAATGCAGAATATGCTCGTATCCCTCGACGAGAAGAACCACGTTATCTCTACAGCTGCCGAGGCACTCAATAAACAACTCGCCCGGATTGACGACTGCTTCCCTTACATCGAGCTCGAGATCAGCGAGGAGGCACGATATGGCAGTACTACACATTGGGCATATCCCGAGAACCGTGTGCCAAAGGCCGCAAGCTCAAGGAGAGAGCTCGCTACGGTCAATAATCTCTCGGCGGCTGCTCAGCATATGGCGGAAGAAGCTGCCGCGAGAAGTGACGCGAGGAAGCAGGCCCTACTTGAGAGAAAGAAGCAGAAGAATCAACACCTCGATTCCGACTTCGACGATCACCACGATGGCAGACACAAGGAGAAGAAACTTCACGGGAACAGTAAGGCAATTCGCAAGGCCGCTGAATCCTCTTCGAGTGTTGGGTTGGGCATAACGAATGGTGCTGGAACAAACGGCAATGCTCCGAAGCGTCGTAAACTGGCCGAGAAAGGACCTGCTGCAGGGGCGGGCATGGAGCGATCGTTGAGCTCAGTGTTTGGCAGTAATGGATCAGTGACGAAGAAGGCGGCAAGTCCCAGGGAAACGCCAGGGCCTGAGGGCAAGAAGCGGCAGAGAGCAACGGGTGCGACTAATGGACAGACTAGAAAGAGGTATGTTGTGGATGAGCGCTGTTCAAATTCATATACTTACAACCTTGACAGAAACAACACGGTCACGTCCACCGCGATGTCTCCATCTTTGGCCTCCTCTCCCATCCGAACCACGTTCCCCGAATCTAAGTTGGCACAAAAGTCCTCTCCTCCACCCACGAATGGCGGCAGACCACAATCGTCGAGGGCCAGACAGAATTCGACACACTCCATGGAGAAACCACCTTCGTCCGTAGCCTCCAAGCCAAATGGCAGTGTAGTTGGAACACCAGACCTTGGGGCGGCGGCAACCGTCACGGGACGGAGTGTCCCCGAAGTCAAAGCAACAACGAAGGAAACAGCAAACAACTCGAAGGGAGACCATTTGTTGGAAGACATCGAGCAAGATAAACCGGAGATGGTTGGCGGCCTCGTTGTCGGCAACCGGAAAGATAGTTTGGCCAAACGTGAGGAAACAGAGCCTAGCGGCGATGCAATGCAAGGAATCCAAATGCAGATGACGATCGTAACCACAAAGAGCGGAAGAGCGAGCAAGCCTTCGACTCCAGCGATACCTACATTCCCCGAGCCAGTTCGCTCACGTTCACAACGTAATACCATCGAAAACTCGTCGAATAAGAGAAGTCATAAGAAAGGTGCTGGGGCAGCAGCCCAGCTCATCGCCCAGCAAAACTCCGAGATCGACGATACGACGAGTAACGCACCAGATGCTGACGAGGACGGCGAGATCGACGAGGATGAACCTACCTATTGTTATTGTAATGGGGTCAGCTACGGAGAGATGGTGGGTTGTGATGCGGATGGGTGTGAGAGGGAGTGGTTCCATCTCGAGTGTGTGGGTTTGAAGGTTGCGCCAAAGGGTAATGGTATGTTGTCTCCCCCTCTTACCAAAAGCTATCTACTAATCGACTTATAGCGAAATGGTATTGCGATGACTGCAAGGAGAAGATGAAGGGCAAACGCTTCAATGGTCGATGATATCTCTACTCACCACTCAAAACAATAAAGGGAATGGAGAACGGACCGGCACGGCGGCATAATGAAATCTGGGACTATAGGAGTATATTGGGGTTTGATACTTGGCTGGCTAGCCTTGTAGCTGTTTGCAGGCATCAAGCTCCTCGATATCATGATACCTTATGCGATCGAGACATTTTCAGGGCATAGGTGCGAGGATAGAATTGTGTATGTGTCTAATAGATGCAATGGATTGATCTGACGAAATTGATGAGACTGCATCCATTATAAAGACGACAGAATATCGGGGTGCGATGTATCTGCATGTATCAAGTGACCATAGCGTCTTGCGACAATTTACTTCAAGGCTGGCTGGAGTATCATCGAACACACAATTGAAAATTTGGGACCGCAATGTCAAACCTGAGGCACGCGACTGAGCAGCAACCAAAAGTGTAAAGTGGACGAGGCTATGCAAAGTCCATCAAACCGGGCAATAAGATAAGAGAAAAGGAAATAAACGTGCCCGTTCATACACGGCTCGTCAGCCTTACTTTGCTGCAGAGGTTTGTTTTCTCACGCCCGAGATCTGTACGAAGCTCGCCCGAGAGCGGCTGTGCCTGCAGCAGCTTCCGTTTTCTTCTTCCCGCGGAGAAAGCAGAACCGCTGTCGGGCGATAGCCGGTCTTTGTAATGCTGGATTTCGGTCCCGGAGGAGGCCCAGGAGGCGGTTATGAGGACGTGAGTCAGGAGGAAAATGGTCATGAGGGCTGAAAATGGGCACGTGATTCGATCGGCACCGGCACACCAAGCCCCCGGCGCTAAGCGAGCGGTCCTCGGCTTATTTTGCTGGCTCTTTGCGACTTCGCTCACTCATCTCCGTACGGAAACTTTCTCTCCCTCCACAACGCCATGGCCCCTGACTCTGTCGTCACGATGGCAAAATAGCCTTTCTGCTCTTCCACAATGCAATTACAGTACTTGCATCCCAGCAAATCAAAGACCAATCAGCCTTCACGATGAACAATAATAATTCATTCCACCGAATAGCAGCGATTGAGTGAGGTAATGGCAGCGAATGGGCACCAGCCATGCCGTAATCGCAGGACGGTGCTGTAGAGTTCTGGTTGACGCCAAGGCTTGTGTCAAGACTCATGCGCACGTTGCGCGTCTCGCCCGGCCACTGGCTCCTCTGATCACGCGTGTCTGCGGTTTCCAAGCTTCTCCTGTTCTGACAAAGAAAAAAAGCAGAAAGGCTGGGTTGAGCTGGTGTCGCACAGCCGTATCCGTTCCATTCCTTCCGAAATCCGGGGCAACGGTGGCTGATGCGCAAAAATCAATCACAAGGCTGCAGCACTTGTTTATTCCATTACTCAATGCCTAGCTCCCGTTCGCCCCAAGGGCTGGGCTACTTCTTTAAAGACCCTCCTGGCCGCATCGATGTGGCACGCAGCCCAGACAGGTAGGAGTGCTAATGCAGTGTGCGTTCCCTTAATTGCCCCTCCCCTCGCATGTTTTCTTGACAGCGGCTGTAACCTACCATATCTTCTCGCGGCTTCTCCTCTCTTCACCATCGCGCTTCCAATCACCTGACACTGCACCGTGCTCCGCACTTGCATTTATTATTCATAGATTGCTTCGTCTTGCTTCTCCAGGGAAGGCGGCTCTCCTTCCCCGCAACGCGCGCTGGGTTTCCTTGACTAAATTCGAGGGGTTCGTGTGTCAGACTTTCTGCGGCGCTCCAGCCCTCGCTCGAACCAAGCAGTGCAGACACCTCATCGCATCGCATCATCTGTTGCGTTTCTTGTCAATTTGCAGCTGCTGTCCACTTCACCGTTCTTTCATACAATTTTCCCTTTCTGGGTTTTCCGAGGAACTAAGTTTTTTTTTTTTGGAGAGGCGGATTTAAATCCAGACTTGAGCCCGGCTTGGATTCACTTGCAAGATGGCCATATCAACCCCAACACCGACTGGCTCGGGCCCCAAACTCGTGCCATTTCCTCTGAGGGCTTCGACCGAAATAAAGCCAAATACAGTCGCGAAGACCAGCCCCCACAACAAAATACCTCCAACAACAGACCGCGTCGACCGCACCAGTTTCTCAAGCATCAAGGAGAGTCATTCCGGGGGCGTAGCGCAGACTTTCACGGACTCGAAGACGAGCTCTTATTTGAGAAATCAATTTACGAGCGAGAACGAGCTCCTCGACGAGGACGCCATTTTGGACGACGCGGCGTCATTGTCTTCTGGAACCAAGACGCCAGACGCAAAGCCAGGGATGCTCACGAATCCTCACAGCATGCTGCACGGCTTCGTATGTCCATGTGACAGCTTCAAAGGATGGAAGGGCATCAGTGTCAAGGGCCGGATTGCCAGTAAGAGCTATGGAGATTTGAAGGGTTTGGGTATGCGGTATGATTGGGACACGAGAGGCGGCGAGAAGATGGATGTCGATGGCGAGGAGAAGAAGAAGAAGAAGATTGTTATGGTCCAGGGACGGTATCCAGCTGGCCAAAGTCCGGTGGAGAGGCTACCTATGGAGTTACTTGGTAAGTTCAACTTCTCAGCTTCATTTGAGATGAGGGTTTGAGCGGTGGCAACCCGGTGACGTTGAGATCACATGATTCGTCTCACGACACAAGATGTTCGGCCTATCTTAAAAATCTCTACTGACAGTTTACAGGTGCAATCATCGACCAACTCTCTACGGATATCCCTCCCAATGGCTTCACACCTCGCAACATCGACCTCATGTCCCTGCTCCTCTCCTCACGTGGCCTCCACACTGCAACCCTCGCCACACTCTACAGCCAAATCACCATCCCGCATTCCCGCATCTTCCGCAAATTCCTCTCCCACATCAGCGCCCACCCCTCTCTAGGAACCATCGTCCGGCGCTTGGATTTCTCCCACTTCAACCCAACAGGAGCCGGCCAGACCGCACGAGAGCGTGCCCAAACTCTCAACTTGATCCCCGCCACACTCCTACAATGTCTCTCTCTCACCCCCAACCTCCGGGAGTTCCTGGCGCAAGAACACATCGACGATGATCTCTCTTCCGACGTCATCAAGTACCTTCTCTGCTCCCTCCCGCAACTGAAGGCTGTGGATTTCTGCGCCTGCTCAAGCACGAACTTCCGCGACGCATTCAACTCCGTCATCTCTTCCTCTCAACTCCCGACCCGCCTCCCGATCACCCGTCTCTCCTTCCACGAATGCACGATCCTGCCTTCAACAATCTACGAGACTCTCCTCCCGCGCCTTAAGCACCTAACCCATCTCGACGTCGCACATACGCGCATCACCTCCTCTGCTCTCTCCTCCATCCCCCACACCGCAAAACTCACACATCTCAATCTCTCAAAATGCTCTCACCTCGTGGGCTCCGACGTCGTTGATTTCCTTACCAACCACCCTGCGGCAAAGACGCTGGTTTACCTTAATCTGGCAATGGATGCTAAGTCCCATGAAATGCTTACTCCCGAGGATCTGACGAATTTATTACCGGTCTTGCCGAAGACGCTGCGAAGTTTGAATTTGAAGGGGAACAAGATGAATAAAGACCATATCCCGCTCCTCCTTCCTCTGACGAAACACGTCGAAGAACTGGGCCTCGGCCGCCATCTAGACTTGACATCCATCACTAGCTTATTCGCACCTCCACTCCCCACTCAAGATTATGAAGAGGAGGGGGAGGACGAGGAATGGATTCCTCACACTTTGAGATACATTGATGTCTCGGATCTCAGCGTCGCGGAACTCGATCTCAGCACTTTATTCGGCACCTCATGCCCCGTGTTGGCAAAAACAAGTGAGCCGCTTGAGGTCGTCGAGGTTGGGGCCGACGTGTGGAAGAAAGTTGAGAAGGCGCCGGCTGTTAAGAGGGTGGGGTGGTGTGGGAAGGAGGCCGGACGCCGGGGATGGTTGGTGCGCGTCAGAGGGCAGGAGGGCGGAGATAGTGGGACCAGAGAGTGGAAATGGGGTGCTAGCTACTGGGGCATGCGGAAGGTTCCGGTTGCGAGAGCGGAGGTGGGGGGCATGTATGGGCATTATATGTTCAAGCGATGATGTCTGCATCTTTTCACTTCCCTTCTTGGTACTTCGCGGCGTTGTATTTTTGGGCGGTGTTGGGTTTGTGTGGGTTTGGATTGGTGCATTTTGTACGAGTGAGCGAGCATTGGACGACATTGCATTGCGTGGAGAAAAGTTGGTGGTTTCCTTTCTTCCTTTTCTTGGATGGGGGCACAATCGAGCATAATCGATGGAGCGAATTGGTCATTTTCCTTGCATGTCATATCTCTCTTCTCTGCATTCTTTTTTCGTTTAGCGTATAGTTTCTTGCATTCTGGTTTAGGCGATAAGGTAAAAGCGAAAAACGGAGCGAGAAAAAAAAGCATTAGATATTGTTTTGTAAGTAGGATGCAGAATAGAAATAATATACATAATCTAGAAACAGATGGGGTTCTCTTTGCGGTTCTCCACAAGTTCGTTCAGTGTGTATGATTTCATGTGTTGGCCATTGCATGGAAATGCTTTTGTACACCTAGCCCGAAGTTCATACCAAATGCAGAAAGTAGTGGGCGCTACCATTTTTTTTACTCAACCTGGATGGTTCAATGTACGAGAGTGTGTTCGAACCATGGAGCGATAATCAACAAAAACCGAGTAAATTGAGTCACCGGTCCACTTTTTCTCCTCTCCTCTCATCTCGTCTCATCTCCTCTCATCTCCTCTCATCTCCTCTCATCTCCTCTCATCTCCTCTCATCTCCTCTCATCTCCTCTTGTCTTATCTTATCTTACGTTAGAGATTATAACTCAGATCCTTAATATAAACTTGGCGTCTTTAAGCCAACCACAATTCGTGCGCACAAAACCATCTTGCTTTCTGTTCTTCCGAAGGAAAATAATTCGAAAACAGGTTTAGGATCAACAAAGTGAGATAAATCACTATTTCTCTCTCACTTTCAAGAGACGTGATATTAGTATGAGAACGTCATGAGAGGGAAGTTAATTTGGTCTATTATTGAAAGGGAGATATAAGGTGTAATACTAAGCGGGGAAGGGAGAAGATCGAGGGAGAGACAGGGAGGCTAGTCAAGGTACTCTCTCTATTCATCGTGTGAGAGGCGGTTGAGGGGATTGCCAGTCTTTGCTTTTGCAGTTCGTAGAGCGGAGTAGATTCCCGTGAATGCGATACGTGATACTGAAAACAGAGATAAAGTAAAGGGGCTAAGTTGGAGATTTATTAACTCAATCGCGAGGTTTCTGAAGCGTGCCGGAATCTGGTGTACAGATGGTATGCATGAAAGCTGGCGGTTTAAAGGAAGTAGGAAGGTCGAGACACACTTCTCGATGTGTTCTTCTGTATGGATGTCTTAGATGCCCACGTGGTTTCGTTGCATATCGCATTTCTCATTATGAGAACATTTCCTGGATGAGTTTCCTGGATGAGTTATTTCTCTTTACGAGATTACGATGCGCAACAAAGCACGCGGTGAGAGGATGCAAGGAGTGAATAGAGATCGACTTTGACTTGCGTTAATATTCGAGTGATAGTGAACTCTCTTCGTGGCTCCGCGGCTCCAGACGATGACCTGAGTTGCATTTGGTACGGTTACATTACACACAAAAGCGGAATTTCAAGTCTGTACTTAAATTAGCTGCCATCTTATGTTCTACCAATCACGGAATTTGCAGCTAAGGGCCGTTGTATCAGGCTCTATTAACAAAACAATATTTATTTCGTTCAAGCCTTCTCATTCCTATAATCGCTCTCATCCCTATAATCGCGTCTCACCCCTATAATCGCTTCTAATACCTTTCATGTATCCTCGCTAAACTGGCGCCTGTTGTCGTCATCTTGCCAAATCTGGTTTTGGAGCCGATGAGTCCTCCAATCCTTCCTTCACAATTACTACCAATGCATGTCTAGTATCCTTGATCTCCCTGAAAGCTATCAATAGCCCTCTCTATGTTCTTCATCTCTCTCGCAATATCAAGAGTAATAGGTCGTAGTGACAGGAACCAGCCCATCGATTCTGTCTCACCCATCCAGTTTAGCCTCTCCCCTCTCATACCTAGCAAAAGTTCGGCCCATGTTCAGCAAGCGTCGTTTCAGCGCGAATGGGGTTGACATTACCGGCTGGGTCTGGGTTCTAGATAGCTTGTTGTCGATAGAAGTTACAGCAGTCTCAGCTGATGAGATGAAAGTGCTGATGATAGAGTCAATAGTGTCGATCTTGGCAGAGAAAAGCGATGTCGATATCTCGGCGTCGGAGCGGACTGAAGTCACGAGGGATTGGATCTCTTGATCTAAAAGAGCCGTTTGAGCTTGCAAGGAGATCTACTCTGATTAGCACCAGCCAAGCATGGGGATTTTGTATGTGGCCGAGTCTACCTTGAGTTCGTCGATTGCACTGTTTCGGGTACTATCTGCTCTCTCAAATGGAAAATTAGCCACTGTTTTAGGGGATTCTTCTATAGGTTTCATGGCGCTCTCTCCAGTTTGAGCGTTGAAGTAGAATAGTCGCCCATCGGGAGTTGATTGAGGGATCCAGATATTGGTAGGCGAATTTAGTTCCTTTGGAGTGTCGGCTACCGTTTCAGCTTCTTTCGGAGGTTTCATGGCGCTCTCTCCAGTCTGGGTGTTGAAGTAGAACAGTCGCCCGTCGGAAGTTGATTGAGGAATCCAGAAATCGTCAAATACTTCGTCATCGCTCCCTTCGTCGTGGTAGTCTTCGTAGTCGATTGCAACCTCGTCGCTTGCTTCGTAGCCCTTTTCGTCGTGGCTAGTTTCTAAGTCTTGATGGGGAGGGTTAGTTATGCCTGCGTAATTGTATGGAAACCATCCTAGAATACCATTGCCATGTTCCTCCTCGGAATCCTCTATGGCTGGTCCAGAATTTCTCTTCTGGTCCTGATTCGAGTCCTTTATGATTTTAGGAGCTCGGGCTGTCCATTCTTGGACTAGGTAGCGAGCTTGTGATGCGATAGTAGGTGCTGATATAGTATCGCCCCATGTATTACGACGAAATCCAGAGGGTAGAGGGTTGTTGTTGAAAATCAGATTGCTGACCCACACCGAAGCTCGTTTACTTTCCGTTGATCTCTTTTGCGCGCTCCCATCACTGATCACCGTTTCTCCGTTCCCGGTTCTGATTTGCATTACTTCCACCTCTGAAGATCGAGCTTCTGGAATCGAATCATCTTGCTCGGCGTTCTGTGCCTCAGCTTCGTTCTCGAGTATTTCGAGCTGATCGACGGTACATTGACGTGCAGTGATCAAGCCTTGAATCACAGCTTGTCCTTGCTCGTCTTCGAGCTGCTCTTCAATGGTCGAAGCCCTAGTCAAAATTAGTCTGAGACCTAGTTACTGCAATATGTCGTGAAGGAATGGCATCGAATTACCTAGGACTCGCCGTTTTCCGACCTATATCTAGAACCAATAGCATGAGCTGAAGTGTACTCTTGCTCGACTCCAGCGTCTTCTGCAATACCTGAACCTTAGAGCGTTTGAACGTCCATTTGACACGAGCTACCACATCCACAGGCGGCTCCTTCGATTTCCCAGCGCTCTTTTGCAACGGCTGTACAATATCTTCGATCTCTCTGAAGATTTCCTGGCATCGCTTCAAGATTTCCTGCGTTGTAGCAATCGCGCTGATGGAATATCGACGAGCCTTTGCTTTGGTCAGCGTAGAATGAAGCTGTTTCAGTACAGGGCTAAATTGGGATATCTCAATCGCGATCTGATTCACTTCGGAACGTGCAGAACCGACTGTTGAGCCAAATTCGAAAAGGGCCATGGACAATTGTGCACCCGCAGCCGCGATGCCCACGATACTGGCGATCGCGCCCAGTTCCGCCATCGTAATTGCACAATTGGGTATTGCTTGAAGAACACCCTTTCGGACAGCTCAGGCGAGCTTGATATTTGGTGGGTGTAATTGATTTGCGGCTGTGTGGGCTGTGTTTGTTAGGCTGTGCAAATAAAACCCGGCGCAAGGCTCCCGAGTTGGCTCTCAGGAGTCATATCGCTTATTTCAATTAGGAGACTTTGCGGGCGGGTTGGGATACTGTAGACAGCTGAACCTCAGCTAGCCCCAACCCATTCAGGGGGAAAACTAAAACGACCCCCCCCTCCCCGGTGTCGATTAAGGGTATCGATTGGGCCACACTAACCGAAATCAGCATGCGGTGGTACGTGCCCATATCGCATTTTGCTCCAATACGCATGTCGTTATCGTTGTTTCCGGAAAAATGTAAAACGACCCCCCCCCCGGGTGTCGATTAGGGCAGGGGTGTCAATAAACTTGTAATTGGCTACCTAAGCTCTTCGAAAATCTTAAGTTATATTTTTTAATATAAGTATAAGCTAGCATATTATAACCCTATTATTATAATTACTTATTTTTTAACTTATAATAAAAAGATTCCTCAAAATAGAACTTTAATTTAAGAGAGTTTATATACTAATTAATCAGATTCTAGTTTTTGAACCTTATAAGGCCCTATAAATTAGGGGTTTATAAGGTTCTTTCATTTGGTATTAAGAACTTATTTGCTAAATTTCTAGGCCTCGCTTATTCTATGCCGCAAAACTAGAGCTCTTATATATAAACTTATACAAGTAATTATTCAGACATTATTAAAACTCTAAAATTTATTAATAACCCTATTTAATACCCGGGGTGGTGGGGGGTCGTTTTACTTTTTCCCGCAAAAGTCTTCTAATTGAAATAAGCGACGAGGTTCAACTCAAAGAGGCAACGCGCACCTGAAAGTAGTCTAGCTCTGAAAATAGAGTCATTAGAACTTCCAGATTTCCAGATAAAAAGTAGATTGAAATCAGAGCCTGGGGCAAAATCTCCAAGCACCCTAACCTGGGTTAAACTCCCGACTCTAAATCTGAGTAGTTCCGGCCCCCTAAATTGCTCTTCTAGTAGAACGCTGTCGCACGCGCATTATTCAATCCCAGAATTCCAAGATCCTAGTTATCCTCCACTGTAGCCGCTATGCTCTAGGTCGTAAGACGTACCCAGTACAGGGGGCTGCCTGATTGGCTTATGGCAAGCCCCTGCTACTAAGAACGGGAACTATGAATACAAAGTCAAGCTGGTATAGAATAATGCGAATTTGATTACGAGGAAAGAAAACAGGAGAAGTGATGACGAGAAAGTGTTGAACGGGGTCATATGTCGCGCATCTGAAGCTTGAGCAGCTGACATCTGTGGCGTGGACCCGGGTGTGGCTGCAGCGTCCAAAGACCCTGCGAATCAGCGGCTCCAGGTGCCAGCACGTTGCTTCCATGGCTCCGTAAGCGAGGGGCTCAGGGGGCAGCTGACTCAAACGAGCAACAGTTGAACGTAGTTTATTTACACTCTCTCAAAATAGCAATTATAAGAACTTCAAGAGTCCAGAAACCGAGCGTCTTTACAATTTTAGAGAGCAAAAGTGCGAGATGCAGTTACAAATCATTGAGTACTGTACGGCACTGATATCGGGGCATAAAGTCATGCGACTTCAGGGCATGCCTGGCCGAGATACACTATTCGTCCACTACAGGTTCAGATTATAGTGGAGGCAGACACTAGAATTCCCTATAACTACTTGGTAGTGACTATCACTGTGCCAACAGCGTGGCGCTGTAGCTACAGGCACTACAGGGCACATACGCTGAAGTCGCATGACTTTATGCCGCGATATCCGTACTCATACTCCATACGAGTATTAGGTTTATTTGCTTCTAGGGAACAGTAAACTATTGAACTCTTTCTTGCTTCTCCCTTTCCCAGAAATTCATTCTTCCTCCTTCGTTCCTCCGCCGTTGCGACAATTCAATAATTATAAGTAACACTATAAACACTATACGGCACCGGCTTAGAAGCAAAAGAAATAGTCTCATCCGCGGCAATGTTCAAATAACGCCCGTTCTCCTTCTGCAACGTATACTGGCTGTTGCCAATATACACAACATTATAGACCTCCGCCCCACTCACCGAGACACTCAAACTCGAATGCTGCGAGATATATAACCCATCAACTGCACTCGTAATCTTAAACGCCGCTCCCTCCTCTGCAACACCATGGATGACCCATCTCTGAGCTTTCGCGTCATGCGCCGCAGTCGCCTTCGTAGCACCAAACTGCTTGGTTCCATCACTGGGGTTCGACAATGCATATCCGTTCGCTTCGAAAACGAGGTAATGACCCTCGTTTATTGCACCGCGAACACCCTTGAATCCGTTCTCGTAGATAAGGGAATCGGCTTCTGTTTGGTTGCCGTACGGAAATCCGGAGACATATTGAGAGCCAGAGCAGGAATCAGTCCATTCTACGTTGCAGAAACCGGAGTACATGCCGATTATCTGACCGGCGGAGTTGGTGATGGGGGCAGCAGGCTCGGGGAGAACAGGGATGGAGTAGTCGGGCTGATGTTCGTTAGTTTAAAACCAACAGAATTACCCAATAGAGAACGCGATAATATAACTTACGTTCTCGAAGTTGACAGCGTTGACGAGGTTGGACATGTGGTCACGGCGCCAGTCAGACATTTGGGTTGTGTTCACGCCATTATACCCTCTGGCTGTGAGGTATTCCTCTCCACGATCTGAGTTACTGGCTAGAAGATGAAACCCCAGGGAAGTACTTACCGAGAAACTGGAGAATTGAGGAGTGGTCGGCGCGCTCTGTGAAGACTTTTCCTCCGCGGCTGAATGGGGAGACAATCCATAAAGGGACCCGAATACCTATATAATATCAGAATCTATCGGATTCCTTCGGCGAGAGACTTACCGGGACCGGAAAACGTGTAACCCAGCTTTCCATACGGATCCTCGAACCACTCTCCGGCTGTTCCGTAAGGAGAGACAAGAGGTTTGACGGCGTCACCCCAGCCACCAGCCTCTGCCCAAAAATTCAGATTTCATAACTCGGAAAGATTTACAAACGAAGGAGGCTAGTCAAACTTACCGTCATAGTTGATCAAGATGATGGTCTCGTTGTAATTTGGGCCGTTGATAGCGGCGCTGACGATCTCATTCATGAACCACGATGCATCCTTCGGTGTGTTCGGCGGATGCTCCTGCAAAGCTCCGGGTGGGAATACCCAACTGACTTCTGGAAGGGTTCCGGCGGCGGCGGCTGCCTTGAAAGAATCAAATCCATTCTCGCCATCGAATGCGAGCCCACGCTCGTACAAGCTGGAATTCACGGCTGCCTGTTGGAAAGCCTCAAAATAGAAAAGCCCGCTGTTGGTTGCCCAGTTGTAGGACTCCTGGAACGATCGCCAGTCTACCCCGGCTTCGTCCAGGTATTGGGCGTAGGCGGGCCATTGCAGGGGAAGGCAGTCCAAATTTTTGGTCACGCAACCTGAGTGTTTAGCATTAGCTAACATGGAAATGGCACAAGTGGATAGCTTACCGTTTGCTTGGTTGTTATCGAGAATCACACCACCGGAGCCAAGCGCTTGTTTGCCTCCAGGGACATTGATCGTGCCGGACTGGATGTAAAGGTAAGCTTTATCAAAATCATATAAAAATGAGAAGAAGTGGATTTGAGGAAAACGCCTCCAACGCAGAAACAGATAGAAACAAAGCACGAACCTGCCAGAACCATCTGTTTGGATCTGTGTTTGAAGTGATAACTGCCTGAGTACCGCATTAGTTACTGAAAATTACAAAAAGGTCGGATTACATACGTGATACGCGTCTGCCACGGTATAGGACTCTGCCAGAGCGAAGTGCCATGGGATATCCTGCCGTTTGAAGTAGCCCCTGACAAGAATATTAGTAGTGGTTCGGAAACAGCTCCCAGGCTCACTGCCGAAGTACAATAAGACAGCATATGAATGAGAGAGTAAGCTTACCACGCCTGGGGTTTATCAATCTGAGCCCACTTGTTCATGACTCCTCCTTGCAACGCCTGTTGGGTAGGAATCCAGTTGTTGGCACCAGCGCAGAGACACTTGCTCTTGTTAAAGTTTTCCTCCCCGCCGAGATAATTCAGCCAGTAAGGGAGAAGCCATTCGGCCTCGGGAGTGACACCAGTAAGATCAGTGTGGGCTCCGATAAGCTCGATAAGCGACGATTAGATAATCGCGCTAATTTTTCGATAATCGATAATCGACCATCGATTACGATAATTATCGAACTAAGGCCTTGGCAATACTACAGGGCTACTACAGGGCCACTACAGGGCCAATGCGCTATATTTATAGGCTTCATACTACCTTTTCTTTACTATAGGAGAATTCCGATTTAGTAAAGGCGGTATAAGGCCTACAAATATAGCGCATTAGCCCTGTAGTGGCCCTGTAGTACTACTAAGGCCCTGGACCCACTATTATTAATAGATTTAGTACTATAAAGGCGGTCTAAGGCCTATAAATATAGCGTATTAGCCCTGTAGTGGCCCTGTAGTGGCCCTGCAGTATTGCCAAGGCCCTGGGACCACTATTATCGATGGAATTATCGATGGGCTCGCTTAATAGCTGGCTGGGCCCACTTTTATCAATGATTATCGAGGCGATGGGGCTCGCTTAATGGCTGGCTGGGCCCACTTTTATCAATGATTATCGAGGCAATGGGGCTCGCTTAATGGCTGGCTGGGCCCACTTTTATTAATGATTATCGAGGTAATGGGGCTCGCTTAATGGCTGGCTGGGCCCACTTTTATCAATGGAATTATCAATAACTGGATTAAATACTAGCTAGTCTACGTTATATAATAGACTATTAAATAAAAAGTTAAAAAGTCTAATAGTATAGTAATAATAGTCTACTTTTATACTAATCTTAATACTAATTGGTTTATAATTGAACTAGAAAGCCATAATGGGGCTCGTTTAATGGCTGGGCCCACTTTTATCGACGATAATTATCGATATCGATCGTTTATCGATCGCTTAGCCGATAACGATTACTAATCGATAATTTCGATTGATAATTTATCGGAGCCCACACTGAGTAAGATTTCTAGACGTCCTTTTTTTTTAGAGGTGTACAACGTGCCTTGGGCAAGCAAGCATAGTAATAATTTAGATGGATGTCACACGTACTGGTACTAGACAGATCTGCCGTCTGCGTTGACCTGCACATTAGGGTCGGCAAATCCTCGAACACCAGACATAGTACCAAAATACTGCAACGGTCAGACTATTGAGTTTTGTTGTTGTAAGCAGTATATAGACACTCACGTGCTGGAAGGAGCGGTTCTCCATCATGAGCATGATGACATGTTTGACGTCCCCGAGCCCGACTGCATTGGCGGAGCTGGCCAGAACCAGTAGCGATACAATGTACTTAGACATCATCGCTGATGAATTAAAAGAATCCAAGGTAAGTTTCTAGAGGGATGCGATAAACGGGTAGTGGTAGAGCGGACTGTCATGAAGATCTTGACCATTGGCTCTTATTCATTTACTTATATACCAACCAAACAAGATGGAACTGATGGCTGACGACGTGCATTCAGAATTCGGAACTCTTGCAGCACTTTATGATCCACTTGAGCGACTTGCTAATACTTAATGGCAGGGATGCACATTAGTACCATTCCCACGGAATCTTAGAGGTGCGCGGTAGAGCCATTCATTCCGGAAACCAAGTCTAGGATGTTAGAAGCCTCTCTTAATGCCTCTCGAGCTGTAGCTAGAGCGCGCATAACGAGTCTTAGAATTTCGATGCAGGTGATCTCACCGCATTGGTAAGTGAGGTGATGAAAAGGGGGACTTCTTCCCTCCCACAGCGAAGCATGCAAGAGGCACAGTAGCTTATGCAGGGACAGGTCGGTGCATGTCGAGGCTAAATGGTAGAATAACTCTTCTCTCATTCCATGCAATTCATGGCCACTTATTTGAGTCCAGATCGGAAGGTGACAGCCCGTCGTCATCTTTCAATAGCTCAACACACCTCTCTCTACGGAGGTACAGCCCATAAAGTTAGTAATAGCACTAACAAGGGTTTCTTGCGCAAGTATACTTTTCGATGTCGCTTTGCCATAGTGAGAGTACAAAACAAGCAAAACGAGGGATTTAATACCAGATCAAGTCAAGTCCTTCGCATGCGTTGGGGGTCCCTTGCTAGTGCTATTACTATCTTTATGGGCCGTACCTCCGTAGAGTTCATCGGTCTTATATCAAACGCATAAAATCTTCGCTCTAACTTTCCAACAATGAGCGTCCAGAGTGGGGTTTGAAATTTGCAGATGATGCTACGTAGGATGGATCAAGGATGGGACCCGAGTGCAGCATTCCACGTGCGCCAGTGATACGGTGAAGTGGGGAAAGAAGAAGGAGGTTTCGGATAAGGATCCGCATTCAGCGAGTGATATTTTTCATACCGCCTTAAATTGCAGGCCCCGGAGAGTTTCGGTCATCTAATGAGGTGATTAGTGAACCAGGGAAGCTAGGTGGAGGGGTATTGTTTGGATAAGCTTACTCGGAACCCAACTTACAACCGGGGGGGCGAGGAGAGCACGAACTTATTGCTTGAAGGATACTCTATATACGCAGTATGCTCTTTATGTAGTGACTTATTGTCCTAATAGTGTTTGCGACCCCTTTTTACAGTGTATCAAGAAGACGCCGATACAGCAAGTTGTAGGGCATATGGATAGAGAATAGACTCAAGAAACTTTTCCAGTCCGCATCAATACGAGCACGGTACAAGAAGACCACGTCTACGCCACCAATCGCGATTCCCTAAATCCTGATCTTCAAAAAGTCTATTGCGGTGGATCACACGCCACCAGGCATCGTGGATCCGTGAATCCTGGGATGTAACCGCAAGCCACCCCCTGACCACCATCGGCAAGCCCGCCACTAAAACGCCCAGATCTCAACATGTGCCGATTCCATGACCAAATCCCGTCCCACTTCTTTCAAGCTTCCCTTTGAGCTTACTGCAACAACCTGCAAGATTGAAGGGTGGGATGGAAACAATGAAGCAAGTTCAAAAAGAAAGTTCCTGATTTGCATTCCGATTCCGCTACCCTCCAAGGAAAGCCCCTTCCTGAGATGTTTGTCCTGAGCAAATTGAACAAGTGTGATTAGAAATAAGAAGACCAATCAGCGGTAGCGGTGGGTCAATCTTTGTTCTTGAATCTCGAATCTATCCGTTACACCAAATTGCCTGCCGTAGCCACCACACGTGCGACAGCCTAGGTGACAGACTTATACGTATGCCTACCGTGGTATGAGAGGGCAGCCTGTGTAGTACTGTTCTTCGAAAGCTTAAAATCTCTCAAGGAAAGTTATTCAGCTCTCGATTCCTCGTCTTTATCAGTTTCCTCTCTACGGCAATTCCTTGCTGACTTGATAATCCTCAGCCTTGAATGATGAAATGTCCAATGCCCTTCAGTCCCGAAGTCGACAATGGACGGCATTAGATCACTGCTGGGCCATGGCAATGAGCTGGTGACCCAGTGGTGGAAACAAGACAATTAGGCTCGTCACTTCTGCCAAAGGGTTCGCTTCCGCACGTTGGTCTTCGTGTTGACTCTCTTATTCATACCATTAACAATCCTCTTCATCCTATATTTGCAATGGCATTCTGCTTTTGAGGCCCCAAAGGCAGAAATGGCAGAGCATTTTAATCCTGTTATGACGCTTGGACCTGAGAGAGATCTGAAGTTTTTGCTCCATCCACAAGATCATGTGTCGCGTGACCCAGGAATTAGACACTTCTCGTGGAATATCACCAAAGGCATGATCGCTCCCAACGGTGTTCAAAAGGATGTCTTTCTCATAAATAGTACACATATAACCCTCCCTAGCCATTCGAAAAGTAATACTGATAATGGCAGACGAGTTTCCCGGCCCCACAATTGAGGCTCGATCTGGAGACACGCTCGAGATTGAGGTTTTTAACTTCGCTGAGGAAGAGATATCCCTTCACTGGCATGGACTGCACATGAGGGGTGCGGATACTGTTATGCCATGTTCCACGAATTCCAGGTTAACATTGGTGTAATAGGAGCAAATCAAATGGATGGACCAGTTGGCATCACCCAATGTGCAATAAAGCAATGGGGACGGCTTACATATCAAGTCCCGATAGGTGACCAAGCAGGAACATTCTGGCATGGCAAAAGGGTCGTTGGTCGCCAATTCACACTGACCTGGTATAGGTATCACGCACATTCGGAAGTTCAACGGGGAGACGGCCTCTATGGTGGCCTTGTAGTCCACAACCCAACAGCTTCTCCAGAAAATATCGAATACCAGTATGACAATGAGCTGTTGTTTTTGGTGGGTGACTGGTATCACTGGCCCGCCGCAAGAGTTCTTGCTACTTTTATGAGCCCCACTAGCACTGGTGTAGAGGTTTGTTCCTTCGTCTCCCTACAAGAAATTTGAAGCTAAACTTTACCTAGCCGTGTCCCGATGCTCTCCTTATAAACGGTCTAGGTTATTTTGATTGTTCTATGGCTACCCACGGGGCTCCAGTTAACTGCAGCCATGTAGAGAAGCCGTGGCTTATGTTAAATAAGAAATACCGTTATAGAGTCCGACTTGTGAACGTTGGGTAAGTCAATTCTTTACGAGGTTACCATCCCCTGTTAAGACATTTCATGACTCTTCAGATCTTTGACTGGCTTTTCGTTCACCATACCGGACTCGAACTTTGTATATCATTCAAGTAGACGGAGGTCAGCCAGTATTTACAGATTCTGATCTTGCCAATTCAATTGGAGTCCTTTATCCTGCTGAGAGGGTAGATTTTATTGTTTCATGGCCCGAATCGGTCACCGGAGCTGATACTGAAGTAATCATTGAATTAGACGATGAGTAAGTCCAGTTCTGGCTCTCGTTGCATTGCCGTCACTCGTTCCAAAGCTGTTTTCCAATTCTAGTCCTCATTCCCTTTCGGTATAAGTGATCTGATCGGTTCTGATGCCGACAGATTTTTCTTGCGCCCTAACTTTGCTCTTACACCAACTCAGTCTTTCCTTCTCGCAGCAGAATCCGGGAAACATCAGTCTACAAACAACACCACAGAAGTTCATCGATTGAGTCTTCGAGATGTAAAGGGGCCGCCACTTGCCGAACCTCTGCCTTCTCCTGGCAAGACGTTTATGATATACACTGCCATTGAGGCTTTGACTCACCTCAACAACATTCCTCATGGATTCATCAACCATGCCTTTTGGGAACCGCAGAACTTACCACTAGTATCTCTAGACCGAGAGATCTGGGACTCTCATCAACTTGTTCCTTGGACTGGTTCTGAGCCCACATGGGTTGAGCTAACCATCAACAATATCGATGCCAACGGCCACCCTTTTCATCTTGTAAGTCTCTCCTTTCAATACGTACTTATTCCCAAGAGCACCCCAAGCTGACATGTATTTCCTTACAGCACCGGTTTGATTTCCATGTTATCACTTCATACGAGGGAAAAGGCGGCTGGGACTACTATAATCCCTTCACCCCAACAAGACCCCCTCGCGGTGGCCCATTCAACCTCGAAAATCCGATACATAAAGACACTGTTTATGTGCCTCCGTGGGGCTATGTGGTTATTAGATTTTTAGCAGATAATGAAGGCATCTGGGCATTGCATTGTCACGTTTTGTGGCACCAAGGAAGTGGGATGTCTATGGCTTTCCAGGTACTCGGGCATGAACAGAAAGGTTTCAGTGATAGTATTGTTGGATTAAGCGCAGAGAACCTTTGCATGACTTAGCCTGTGGAGGATTCTTCTGACATGCGGTATTGACTGGATACGAAAAGAGAATGCTCAGAGTAAGGCTAGAATCTCGCTAGGAGTGGTACTTGAATTTGGGGAGCAATGTCACGGGAATGGGCTACTGTGTTCTCCTAGCACATATTTTGTATTTGTATCCCCCGAACCGCAAGGAATTGGGGTGTTGGGAAAAGGGGTATCGGATGACTAGAGAAATTATGAATGTAGATAAAAAGAAATCTCCTTGTGGTCTTGGCAGATCCGGATGCCGAGCACTTCACACAAGATCCAAGAAACATTATTCATAAAGCAAATAGGATCTACAAGCACTTCATCAAAAATCTCACTGAAGCGGTATAAAAGCAGATTATATTGCCGGGAAAAAGTTGAACATTGAAGTGGTGAGAGAGTGGAAGGGCCTGAGCTCGTTACGAGGTTACGAGCCTTTGGACATGGGTCTGTGGATTATAGGGCGCTTTTCAGGCGTCGCGAATTGAAAGGCGATCAATTGAATTCAATTCTATTAAATAACCACAAAATATAATAATATAAAAGGTAAGCAGCACGATAATTAAGAAGCTATAGTTTATTCTCTTAATATAATTAGAAGAGTACTAGCATCTTTTAAAAAGTTGGAGTTTTCCTTTAGTGGAAGTTGGTCGCTAAAATGCCCTATAATTCACAGACCCGTGTCCGCAGGCTCCTTAAGCGACTAGCCTCCTGTTCGCGTTAGACTCCTCTCTTGCAACATACCACGCGTTAATAAAAATAAAAACGAGAGCAGCACTTCTTTCTTGCTTTTAATTAATACGGTACACTCTTCGGCAAGATGAATAGCGAGAAAAGAGCTGTATAATGTCAGCTAATTCTCCGCTCGTTACTCGTTAGCTGAGAGTGTTTTACACACCAACCACCAGAGAAAAAGTAAGATCCTGTAAATTGTAGGAATCGTCCCAATTCTAGGCGGTAGAAATCTCGGACTAGATCTTTTCTCCAATTCTCCGGGTACTACTTCCTCATTACTCTTTAGTTGGGGTTCTTTAGAAGGTGTTGTGTCCGCTAGCTACTTACGAGCCCAACCCCACTAGTCTGCGAGTACAGGGCAATTTTCAGGCAGATTCAGGCACCCCGAACCCGCTTACGGCTTCCCAAAACCAAACTCTACGAAAACGCTTAAATATTATGAGATAATGAATAAATAATCACGACTTCATGTCTGGGGCCTAAGACGTAAAGTAATTAAAGTATAATTTCATTAATTTATTTTCTAGGAATTTGAGGGTTTCAAATTTGAAATATACCTAAAATGCCCTGTGCGCGCAGACTAGTGGGGTTGGGCTCGTACCCGGTTCAAGTTCCAGGGCTTGACGTGATCGTTCTTTGTGAAGTGCCAAATTTCCGTCAATAAGAGCTGGTAGATCTGTATTCTCCGGTTGGGGAATTCTTACTATGTCGCGTAACGATAGCTCTTTTTGCTCTTTCGGCCAAGCATAAAGCCTGTTGTTCCCCTCCCAGGTGTACTCCTTTAAATTGGGAAATATTCCCCTCTCCGCTATCATGTTGAAACCCAGGCGGCCCATTCCAGCTATCTTTGTTTCGATCTCACTTGCAGATAATTGGAAATGCGGATTAATATCGTATGTTTAATTTTTTTGCCATGGCTTCCATCCAATAAACAAACCATTTTTTGTCTATATGGCCGTAGAAACTCATGAGCCGTTCGACGAAAGCTTCCCAGACAGTCAATGCGGAATCACCATTCCCCAGCTCGAGACTAAATCGACATGGAAGGAGGTATTGCAGGCCGTCAACAGTACTCCGTTTCTGGTTTAAAAAGTGAAATAAGCCGTGGACATTGCAGTTCATGAGTTTGGCACGGACGATTCGCTAACGGTCGTCTCACATATCCCCCGAACCCTAGGGAAACAAGAATAAGCAAGGATAGAAACGAGTTTGTTATGGCCGAATCCGCCGTAAGGAATATGAAAGTCTGGATACATAGACCAGTCGAACTCCTTCACGGGGCTACAACTTCGATATTAGCGTTGTAAAAGAGCATCTTCTAGAAACCCCGATTGAGCATTGTGCCCGTCCGTGAAATTGAATGTTTTTTTCCAGAACTCACCCTCAAGTAGATCTACATTGCAGTCTTGGACTCGATCGTCAAGACTCAAAAGGTAGTAGCTTCATCTGGCCAATGAGACATTGCAGGAAGAGTGAGAAGACGTCAAGTGTGCCGAAAAACACTTTCAAGTTTTTTGGGGTTTCTTGCTGAAGAAATTCGTAGACAGAACGATGAGTGAATACAATTGTTTCTTTGAAGGCGAAGTGCCCGGGACTATTAGAATCCCACTTACCCACTTGATGGCGATCTGTAGTCTCGGCCAGCCCTCTGCAAAGTCTGCTGAGCCTATATTTGAAGTCATCCACACGAACCTTGATTTCAAACACGGTGGCTTCGCGCATTGGGTATCCGATCCCAAAATCTTTCATTTTCGAGCATTCTCAATAAAAGAGTAATGCAATAGAGACGGAAGCGAATCTGCAAACAGGTGGTTACAAAGAACCGAGGAAGCATATTCCCACATGATATACTGTAAATGAAGACTCAACTGAGTCGTCCAGAAGTCCAAGCCTTTCCTCAGCTCAGCGACCTCATTCATGGTCTAGATATTGGCCATGGTTGCCCGAATCGATTCTCGCACAGAGTGTGGCTTCTTTACCTTTGTCTTCTTTAGCAGCGCCAAAATCTTCTCGCCCAAGCAATGGCAGATAGCAGCAAGCTCAGCGATGCTGTTTTCCTGGCTGATTCGAGATTCCGCGGCCTTTTCATTTGTCAAGGTATTCAGCAAGCCTGTTCATCTTGGAAGTAACGTATTCAAGCCGAGTATTTTTGAGGGTGCTGTCGGTGGTCGATTCGTAGAGGATGTAGGTGGTGACGATAACCCGTCCAGCGAACTGCATGAAGGATATGACGGCAGACGTGGCGCCGATTATGGTGAACGGATCCGCCATGGAGGCGAATGAGAGAGACCGGAGGAAATGGGACAGTGCCAGCATTAGCAGGACAGGTACATGTGTGCGCGACCTTGGGCTTTGTCGATAGAAATCCAACCAAAAATCTAACCCAATCCAATATACACCTCGATATCAGCGAGTAGCCAGAAGACTCCTTCGAGACAGAATGACAAGAGCGAATGGGGTTTACGAGGATTTTGTGATGGCGAGATATCGTTGGCTCTTGGCTGCGCGTCGCTTACCCGTATAATCTGCACCGAATCTTGACCTCACCAAAGTCCATTTCCGTCTTTGGACCTGAACAGTCGCCGCTGTAGCCTGAGCCGAGGGTGAGCAAACCCTGAGCCAGGCTGAGGAGGAGGCGGCGGCTCGTTTGGGCTCCTCGGCTACGACTGCCGCCGGTTAAAATTGGAAAGAGTGAGGCAAGGGTTCTTTCGGGGCCGATGTTGGACCCCCGTCAGATCCAACCCTCATTCGTATACTAACACATCGCGTTAATCTATTAACCATCTATTCAACTCCTCTCTGCCACAAGTTATCGTATCCAAATACACACAATACCATACGCCAGTGACGGTCGATCAACGATTATGGGCCCTTCGAAGGACGACAATACAAATTCTGGGAGTCAATATCTGGCGTTCCCTATAAGCATGCTACCTATTATACAACGCTACCAGATACTTTCCCTGAGCAAGGTATTGTTCATGCGAGACCGCGCAACAAGGTACAGTACGACAGTTGTATCGAGTGTAACGATAGCTGGTGTGCTTAATGGGCATGACGAGACTCGTGCGGATGCGAAATCACATCAGGGGAAGGTCCATACCAAAGTTCTGTCTTCCCGAGGGGCAGAGAATTCCATGCGAGCAAGGCAAGGCAAGGTAGAATTATCTTAGCACTAGGAGTTATTTTGACGAAAGTGTTACGGTTACTGGTGTACCTGTTGGCTGTTGTAGGATTTATGCAACGGCGAGACTAGGACAAGAGAAGGTTCATGATTTGGTTCAGCAGGAGAGCCACGCAAGCAACGTAAGTCGGAGGTGCTGAGATCATGCAGGAAGACAAGCAGCTTTATGTCAGCGATAGTGCATTGATCTCCAGGGGTGCTATTAGATGGTTTCTGCGTCGGCTGACCCTCTTGTGATTCATGTAGCGGCGAGGTTGGCTGTTGCGAGATTCACGAAGCAGCGGGACTAGTCCAGGGGAAGGAGCATGGATAGGTTTAGCTAGAGAGCCACGCAAGCAATATGGTAGAGTCATCTCGGTAGCAACGCCGTACTAATAGAGGGGTCTCAGAGTTAGCGTCGTTCCTAAGCATTTAAAATTCATGCGTAGATGAAGTTACGCCATAAAAGGATGATACAACTGTGCTCTGCCTTGTGTAGCTAGGAAATTCATGCAGAGCAGGGCCAGTACCACGACTAGCGTGATTCATCCAGTGGCAGAGTTGCGACGAGGGAGAGGTTTACATCAAGGTTCGCTCCTGAATACCATTGGAATCTATAACCTTAAATGTTGCCAAATCCGGGTAAAAATACTACAAATAGCATGTTAGATTTCCACTAAAGTCAGACTCAACTTTTTTTTTCGCTGGTTCTGTTTTAGTCTTTGGACGTGAGCAGCTGCCGCTTTAACCTGAGCCGAGAGTGAGCATTCCTGAGTATGCCTGAGCACGGCCTGAGCTTGGCCTGAGCTCGGCCGGAGCAACCTGAGCATGCGCTGAGAGGCCATTTTAGCTCCCAAAGGGGCTCGTTCTGGCTCCCTTGATGTTCGGTTATACCTTCCTCATCTTGTCTCCAAGCACAGATCTCATTTTGGCTCCCTTGCGACTGAGATTCCCCTCGAGCCATTTTTAGATCAACATTCGCCCAGCCTGTGGGAACTTGACTTAAGTTAGCTTTGTAGCATACTACAAGGAGAGAGACATGCCTTTTTGCTGGGAGTATTGCTGGTTGGGGAGGGAAGTGGGTGCTTGGGTTCGGTGTTCGTGTTCTTGGATATAATTCGTTCCTGGAGGAGTTGTAGGCGTGCGCTCTTACGAGGAGATTGTGGTCGTTCTTTCTTGATACCTTGTGGCCGCGATCCTGTCAGACATTAGCCAAAATACGTAGCGGATACGAATGGCTTGGTTACTTTTGCTTTTTGGCACCAACTGGGGGTTGCCTTTCGTTCGCGGGGCTATACTGACTGGAGGAGGGGTAAGAAATGGGTTTATGTTGCCGCTGGGTTGATGGACTGAGGTAGATGGAAGAGTCGGAGGGGTTCAGCGGGTGGTGGCGACGAATGCGCCAGGAGTTTTGGGATGCAGCGTGAAATGCAGCATGCATCCCTCCCCCGGAACCACTGAAGTCAACGCCGGTGTCGTTATTTAACACCATGCTGAATAAGGATTAGCTACGGGCCAGTTTAGCCGATAACTGCTTGTTCTGGCAGCCTTGATTGTCCTTGAATACCAGTAGTTAAATTTCTACCTCCGTAGAACATCCCCGTTTAAAACTAGGCTGCCAGAATCGCAGCCTAACGGCATTCACCGGATTGCCCTTCGATTTCTTACATAAGTAGCAGATCACACGCTCAGCCCCGCGAGCCAGACATTTCGTTTTCGCAAACATCGTCACCACCTCCTCACAAAATTTCAAGTCGCACCGTCGAACACTTTCCCAGCGCAGAACCAATAGCAGCAGTAGCGACTCAGGCATCTCGCTCGATTCGAACACTTATCGGCCAGTCTTGAGTCTCGTCGGTATCTTTCGGGCGTAAGTAAAAGCTCCCCAGGGCGCTTCGAGCCTGAGCTCCATGATTTGTCAGGAGCTTACTTGGAATAGCTCTGCGTGCCTCTCTGGACCCACGTTTCCTCCCTCATCCCACGCCTCTTCGAACCTTCCGTCTCAACACTCGGCTCAATATATTCTCATCGATTCTGCGAACGGTGGAAAGGTCGGGCTCTTGTGTTTTGGCATGAGCTTATATACGTTCAACTATACCTCCACATACGAGCATCCTCGTTGCCTCAAAGATTAATAGCGACTCAGAGGCACAAGAAACACCTTAAGCAGGACAAGGTTTGTGCGTAACTGTTATTGCCTCAACTCAAACTTACTTTGGACAGCAACTCATCAACGATCAACAAGCATTGTTTCCAAGTTGTCAACAACTTAGAGAAACAACTGCGGGCTCGACCGCTTCTGAAGAGGGAAATGATGTTGATCTTGACTCCACGAAGCGGTCTCCCGCAGAGGAGCCTTTGAGATGCCCACATTCCGACTGTGATGGCAGAACTTTCAACAGAAAGGATCATTTGCTCCGACATTACAAGACGCGTGTGTTCCTCGATACGCAGGCTTTCGGGGTCCTCAATACGAGCAGGAGGGCACAAAGCGGTCTGTGACGGCACGTACGAGAGAGCACAATGAAGGTGTCGTAGACTGCTGCATTCCTAAGATACTAAGCTAAGGAGGGAAGAAGAGAGTCTTCCATAGAGAGGGCAGGTGGTATATATACATGACACAGACGCTAGTAGGCCTGCTGCGCACCCATAAGCCTCAGTGGGTAGCCCCTGGCACGTGAGTAGCATGTGACGAGTGGTTCAGTTCGTCACACGGTCTGTACTTTCTCGATCTCATGGAGTAGCAGGGGGGAAAAGAAACATTTTGATTGATTGATTTCATTTGCCTTTGCGCCCCTGTAATTCTTCCTAGTGGATTCAAGGTAGTGTGAGAAACCCCCGGAGACTTGTAACCCTAACTCTAACTTGGGGTTATTTACCCTAACTTAGGGTTAACTGTCCTTTCCTAGAGTCACGTGATATTCTTGCTCGCACCATAATGTTGAAATTAGGGGCCTGAGGCCCCTAATAGGCTTAGTAAGCCCTGGAACAGAGCCTTAGGGGCTGTGTACTAATGGGGCTTAAGCCATAGGCTTATTTATTACTGAGTAGATTATGCCCTGTAAGGTTGATTCAGGGCATAATATGCCCTGTGAGGGTAAATCGGTTCAGCTGAGGTTGAATGGTTCAGTATAAGGCTCTCTGGTTTAGGGGTTTAGTGCATGTGACTTAGGGGGTTCAGGGCTATATATACAGGCTACTTACCACTGTAGAACAGCAGTCAATTCAGTACGTTTTACTTGGTTTACATTGCAAGCACGTGACCCTAGCTCTTTATTTAGCTAGTTCAACACATAAGGGCGAGGGCAACACAAAGAATCACGTGTTAAAAACTAAAACTTTAACTATAACTCTCCCTTTATTAATTATATACTACTGTGACAACGCTAGCCCCGAGTCGGACGAGAAGGGAAGGGTAGCCTAAAAGTTCTTCTTTATTTTATGTTACATGACTTTTAAACACGTGACCTGTTTATACTATATCTCACTCAAATATCACAGATATCCCTTTTAGGTCACGTGACTTATTCTGAGGGCCCTCACTTCGGCCTCCACGGCAGTGGCCAAGCGGAGCGCCATTCCAGCCAATCAGAGGATCCAGAGGGACTTCGTCCCAGCCACAGGCGCAGGAGCTTGCCCCCTGCCTTCTTAACCCTACCCCTAAGCCTCTTCGGGCGTAGCCCGCCCTAACCCGTTAAGACCCTAACAAGAGCCCGTGACCCGACGTCCGTTCCCTAACCCTAAGGTGAACTCAGAGTGGAAGGTCACGTTCGGAAAGTCGATTTCCGAGCTGCAGCTCCCTCTGAAGATTGTTAGATAACTTGGCAGGATATTATTGCTTTGATAGTGATGCTTTGGATTTATCGACTGCAACGCTACCATGAAAAGCATTGTTTGCCTTGTTACACGTTCCTGCACGGAAGGCCTTATTAGTATTGCATCCTGTCAAAACCAATGTATATTTATTTATTGGAAATCTTTCTTCAAAGTAACCATATTCTCTGATTGAGACCCTTTTGCCGCCTTGCACTAGTAGGTTGATATCACTTGTTCAGGGCTTAGCGGTCGTGACTGAGAAGCTTCACTGTACACGTAACAGAGCCAACCACTGTGCTTCCTTTCGATCCTTCCTCGTCAGACTCCGACAAAAGGCCAACGATTCAAGAATTTTATCCCGAGCCAATGAAGACTACCAGGACCGCAGCATACACTGCAACAGCGCCAAAAACCTCCTTTCTCGACAGGGATGTCATGAAACCAACCCATAGGGAGAATCCAACGATGAAACCGGTCAGTGTAGCCAATTCTCTCTTATCGACCTTGACTTCTGTCTCAGTCTTATACGTGTTGACTACCGATAGAACCCACACAGCAACAACGAGAGAAGCGAACGCAACCACCATGTTAATACCAGTGACCCATGATCCAATCTTGCTTTCTTTGGTGTACTGGACTTTACGAGTAGAGATGTTCTTATCCTAATTGCATTGTCAATACGTCATCTTCCAAGATCCGGAAACGCTAAAATACTGACCAGGAACCAAAACTGAAGTTTCGAACTGATGAAGTTTGAGACCCGGTCTTCTTCGGCAGGAGGTTTCAGCGTCACAACATCGTCACTGTAGAGATTTACTTGACTATTGCCTAGAAATTGGGGTTTGTCGCTGTAAGAAAAGCTGTACCAGTCGGATAAGACGTCTTTAGTACGATCTGCCGGTCGTGGAATCTCGAGAAGTTGCTTCTGAAGTACAAGCGCTTCATCTATTTGCAACGAGCCGTGAGAAAGGGGTATTTTGGGAATAGTAGAGATACTCACGATATTCTTTTAATGCCTCTTTGACATCTACAGCCAGGTACCACCTGTCTTGCATCTTCTGAATCCATTGGTCAGACAGGTTCAACATAGGCCAGGGTGTGTCCGGGTTGGCTGTTTCCCATTGGAGCCGCCTTTGCTTCATTTTTTCTGCGCTACTAAACATCTCAAACTCTTCCCATGATTTTGCTGCATAGTATACCGCTTCGGGAACCACTCTGTTTTCCAGGTAAGGTATTAAATATTGCTGGAGCATGACTTCAAGATTCGTGATTGTAGTTTCTATGTTCAGCCATAATACTGGAGGAGGAAACAGAGCGAAAAGTGCTTCCATCGTCAGTTCATCAATTGGTATTGGCGAGAAGTCGGCTAAATTGTCCACAGAGGCGTTTATAAGATAGATAAGTAGGTAGGTGGGTGAGACCCCCAAATCTTGTGCAATATACCACAGCAGATAACCCAATCTCTTCCGAGCCAAACTTGGTCCCCGTCTTGGCAAACGGGGATAAGTTTGAACCTTGCTTCCCTCTTGTGGCTCTTGGCCTTTCCCGGAGGATCGTGGAATCGGTCCATTGACTTCCACGAGATGCTCTAAGAGAGTCCTTTCTGCCTGGATACATCCCTCAAGACAAGCGAGACGTTCGAAAAGTGTACCCCTGTTACTCTCTTCTGGGTCTTCAGGGAGACTTTGCTTGCTCCCAGACCTCGGATGCCATTTGGTTTCCCTCTCCCTGATCCCAAACAAGAATTCTGGTTCCTTCCCGGACCGATTCCACTTTTCTTTGTCTGCGTTCTTAGGCAAGAATTTTGGTTCCTTATCAATTTGTGCTGCCAAGTCGAGGGCGCTTCTAAGTAATTCGTCCCGTGTAGGTCGTGGGTCGGGGCGTATTAGGCGTTGGCTCTCTGGTGATTCTGGTTCCAATATCTTCTGTTGAATTCTGAAACGCAGCTCTTCGAGTTGTTTTTCTCTATCCGGCCTCTCGCTCGCAAAATCTTCTTCGTCAAACTCGGCCTGTTTGGCTGTGAGGCATGCAACTCGGCTTTGCAGGTACAAAATGTTTCTCATTGATGCCTCGTCAAAGCGTTTGAAGAGAGCCGAGCCTCGGTCCTTGTCCAAGACAATGAAAGAAGCGCTCTTAGGGAACCCATCCAGGACGTTCCGGCCCCATACCTTCTCATCCCCTGAAAGCTCTTTGGGTATATTGAATATTGCAAGCCGGTCCCTTGCTGGCGGATTGCCTTCCCATGGGTTCGGGAGAGCCGTTAAGAACTTTGCCGCCTCAAGGTCGATGTTGTCGCTGCCTTCCGGCACTGGTCTGGTACTCATTCCCGCCAGTTCAGTGCTGCCTTCCTCCAGAAAAGCTCTGTCTCGAATTAGTCATTATGCTAGTAAAATCTCTCAGGTGGAAAATGCTAGCATCGTCCACCAAGTTGTATGCTCAAAATTTGAAGGCGAAAACACACAGAAGTTAAGAATTATGTAGACTGACCTTGGGCTTGGACTTTCTTCTTCTCGTTCACGTCGGTCTTGCAGCTCTGGTTCACGCTGGGGAGGCCTTGGTCGACGTGGCTCGTCTCTTGGTACTACCACCTGCCTCATCGCCTCAAAGTCTTCTTCCCGACGAATATCTCGATCACTCACTAGAGCCGTAACTTTCTTCTCTCCAACAACCGTGTTATGAATAATACTTTGTACGACAGCAGGAGTTACACTCAATGATTCCACAGTGTCAATAAGCTTCCATTGGGTTTTCCTGTCTTGTTCATGGATCTTTACCAAGTTGACCAAGGCTCCGAGTTGCCTCCCTTGGATTTCCCTGTCTTGTTCATGGATCTTTACCAAGTCGACCAAGGCTCCGAGTTGCCTCCCTTGGGTTTCCCTGTCTTGTTCATGGATCGCCCCCAAACGAATTGCGTTTTTTACAGACGTGGATAACAAGTCGACCAAGGCTTCGACTTGGTTGCCCCACCTCCCACCAATTTTATTAAGCGTTTCGAGAACTGCCAGCATTTTTTTGATTACCTCTTCTGATTCTTTCGGTATTGAAGTCATTTCCTCGTTCCTTCCGGCCAGTAGAGGGCGTTGTGAGGCGGAAACATCGACGGAGGAATCCTGTGTCGATTTGCTTTGATGCTCTCCATCTCCCGAAGGAGATTGCTCGGTAGCTTTTGGGTTCTCTGCCATTTTCAGTCAGCGTCGAGATGGGCTCAAAAAGCTGTGGAAATGTGGTCCTCGACAATTAGTTCTAGGAGAATAAATTTTGGCACAGCTTCTTTAGGCTGCCGTGAATCACGCGTGGATCATGCAGTCCTACGTCGATGGCGAGGCTATGGCCCTTATTGGCGACAGATAAGACGTAGAAGGGTAACACAAGGCGATCCCATGACCTCCAGCTCGGCACAGTCCGAGGTTTGATTGGCGAGGAAGACCGTGGGAGGGAACTACAACGACCCATATGACCTGACTTAGGCGTACATTCTTTTCAGCCCCAAGCCACAGTGGAGCTCCCACTCAGCTGTCGCATTCCGAACACATTTCCCTTCGTAACTTCTCATTTCCAGCCTGGTTTATCAATGAGCATTGTAAAGGTGTGAAATATGATTACGTTGACGGAGCACGGGCGGATGCCCTTCAATTTTTGCTTTAATACAAACCTCAATACTTTGGATTTCGGGGTAAGAATCAACCCTTTTAGTCTTTGAGCGGGTTAAGTTCAATAGTGATGTTCAAAGCTAAACACGTACTAGGATTGCGACGGCAAACCGCCTCCTCAAGCTTCCAAGGTGCGCTTAAGATATAGCGACGGCTACAATGACAGTTTCCCAAATTTAAAGCTTTTGCAATTGGTACACTGGTATCTCTGTGCCGCTGCTGGACACATTCCGTCTGGACAATCACATGTGCCAGTCATGGTCAATGACCAACGACACTGGGCTTTCGTTGATAATCACTCCAGTGGGAATATCATGAGCCTTGAAATGGCCAGTTGGATTGGTCTTTCCATCCATGGGGATGGAGTAAATTTCAGGATGATAGACGGTACTGTTGAGCGCTCACTGGGTCATGTATGGGTCGACTGCTCTCTTATTACCACCACCAAAACTTCGAAGCAACACAGGTTCCACATCTTTGCAACCCCTATCAAGCCATTGATTATCGGCGGCCCATTTCTGTACGACAGTGGCATTCTTATAGCATCACCCAGCGCATCAATAAAGGCCTTGGATCTCAGTAATGAAATGGATCTCTTGTCCCACACTACAGATTGTGTGACGCACCAGTACCCCATGTATTTGATCTGGGTAGAGGCCGAGGCCCTCCAGATTTCTGCTGAAGCCATAGCAGTTGCAGATACCGGTGCGAACGCGGATTTGATGTCACTCGCATTCGCTCGAGAGAAGGGGTTTCCAGTCCAACCGGTACGAGAACTCGAAGGCGTCATTATGACCGCCAACGGCAAAATTATTCGTTCCAAAGGTATCATCATAGCGACCGTTTGTTTTTCAAATCACCATGCTCATCCCTTTGCACCTCTGCGCTGCCGTTTTGTCGTCATTGAGAATTTGCCATTCGACGTCGTCTTAGGGAGGAGTTTCGTGAATCAGCAAAACCTTCTCAGAAAGTCCAAATCCCAACTGTATCATCACATGGCATTCGAACAACAACACACCTGCTGTTCTGTGGAGGAGCTCAGCAAGATGAAAAAGTGGCTTGCAGGTGCTAAAGGATTGGATAAGCCGGCGGGTAAAACCCTCTTGAACGAGATAGAGAAAAATATAAATGAATGCGAGAAGATATACAAAGAGTGGGAACAATACGAAGTGGATGGTTCAATAGCAGTAGCAGCTCAGCTTGATTATCGAGACGCATGGAACATTTATGAGCGGAACAAGCAAAGGTGGGAAGCAACTCCCTATAGTAAGTCAAGCTCTACCATTATAATCCTTTTGCAAATTGAACTCATATATAATATTTAGAGCAATTTGTCTCCGCTTCGAACGCTAGGCAGAGTGGTTTTACCCGTCTTGATGAGCGATACCGAATACAGTCAGCGAGGGAGTCAATGGATAGCTTGCCAAACGGTCAACCAAGGTGAGTCGATAAAAGATACGACATGAATATATCTTACTTGCGTCTAAATGCTACAAGTAGATCTCTTAGATCTCCCACTCCACAACCTCCCTCGGCCCTAGAGGCCCCTCTGCCCCCACAACCTCCCATGCCCGGCGGTTCATCGGAACCAGCAAGAAGTCCAAATGCTATAAGAGGATTTCGCATATCGCGCATTCCACGACTTCATTTACCCAATGGACCTTCGGAACAACCAAGGCGTCCAAGTGCTGCAGGCACGGCACACACGTCTCCCATTCCACAGCCTCCTTTGCCAAACGGGTCTCCGGAACAACCAAGAGGCCAAAATGCTGCGAACTCACTATCCACATCTTCTATACCACAACTTCGCTCGCCCGCTAGCACCAGGAGACGACTGTTTTTCCTCTTTAGAGATAACTCTCAGCCGAGGAAAAAAGACTCGTAGCAGATTTCCATTAAAAAGTCCTATTGAATGTTCACAGGAGCCGGTTGATAGAGACTTTTTAAACATTCCAATGATTCACTTGCTGCAGAGCCATCTCGAAGTCAATTGGCGGTGCTCTGGAATATGTGGATTGAAAGTCTAGAGTCCATTTTGAGTCTCCCTTCTATTGTACATTTCATCACAATCGATATCAGCAAACACAATCTGTATACTCTTCCTCAAAGCACTTGATTTCGTTTTCGAACAGGTAGAGCAGATTGCCATTGACGTACTGAGACCACGACCCCTTCTCGCAATATCAGACCACCCCCAGTTTTCCACATCCCAGTCAGTTGCTTTCATGATTCTCTAAAGACTTGGTCTGCTCAACCCTACTACTTATTGTGGAATGGCACCATCAAGACTAACTATACCCCGCAGTACAGTCAACGGTGACTTTTCTGACTCGGATTCGCTCATCAGCGTGCAACACCCGCTATCACGACCAGCTATAACACAGCGTTCAGGCATAAAACACTGAGAAAGCACTGCATGCTATGGGATTGTTTACTGCCAACATCAGCTAAAGAACATCATCGAAATCAAGAGGAGATTGTCGTCATTTACCAGAACGAGTCGACGGCATCAATCAAGAGAGACTGTGATGAGTTCTCCACAGACAAAGGCAGCCAGAGATCGGTAATTGGGGAGTTTAGGGTTTGTTGTTAACTTAATAGTTCTATGAGGCCCCTTGTTTAACCGGATATTAGGCAAGTATTAGACAGAAGTAGACGTCTACTTTTAAAAGAATAAAATTAGAGTTAAGGGCACTATACCGCCTCTCGGCTGGCACTAGCCCCTGCTTATACAAAGGTAACAAGGAGATTTTTGGGATTTGTTTAATTAGAAGATGAACACTGCAACGTAGATTTGCGAAAGTAGAACAAGTAAAGATCTGAATGCATTTTGGTACGGGAAACACTACGTTATACATCGTAGATTTGAATATCAACGGACTTTCGATGAGTATTTCCGGAGCGCACGAGTAATCAAGCTCGACCTCTTGGATGTCTGCTTACTCTGTTCTTCAAGGGATAGGTTATTGTTCTCGTCCATCAAATGTGCGGCTGACACCCCCGTGTCCTCCACTCGTAGTCCTGATTCCGAGATTGCTGCCAGTCTTTCCTGTGTCTTCTTATGCACTGTCCACCTTTTTGCCATTATTTCTTTCCTTGTTCCCCACGATGCTATCAAGGGTAGCATCCTCTTCACCCTTTCTTGATTTGATCTCCACATTGTGGTTAAGTATTGAGCTCCAGTAATACGAAAGTGGTTCTCAAGAGCCTTGAAACACATCGACTCATTTATTTCGGCAGAGTCTGGAAGGATGATCATATCACTAACGATAGTCATGTCAGCGTACTCTGGAGCGAGAGTTGAATGGATCGAAGTCCCATTGACCGCGGATTATAAAAACATCTCCTCTCCATGGGAAGTTTTCGCCTCCTTCATCGTGAACGTTGCGCTAGATCGATAAAACGCGAGGATTTGGGTCCATCGGATGTTCGATTGAGTGGTCCGGGACCAACGTATATTTGGCTATCGGGTAAAACATCATGTAATAGTCGCTCTCGCCTTGCTCCTCGTCCCAGATGTCTTCTCGATTCCAGAGAGTTTGTTTAATTTTTAAAGTGGACCCGAGTGACTTGGGATTCGTGATCAGCTGGAAGGCAAACATTATGGGTCTTTCGTGAAACTGCTCGAGTGATTCAATCTCATTCAATCCATCCTCTTCATAGGCGAAGACTTCCACTTGCCGTGAATTTCGAAGAGAATCGCCAGCAGGAAGATGAAGAGCTGGCACCGCCACGGCGTGAAGTCTTCCTGGTGCTTTGATGGGATTGTCTGAGAACAACCCTGATTCAAAATCTTGGCCCGGGTTACCGCTTCTTGTAGCACGTCGGTAAGACGGAGTCATTCGAGCTGAAGTCTGTGCATACGACTCAAGGGAACCGAGAGATATCTGCTTGATAACCATATCCTAGATGAGAGACACCATTTCCGTGTATGCCTCTCTCAGCCCTTCTGCGAATGTGGAGTGGGTTGGAGAGAACTCAAATGGGAAAGCCCAACGTGGGTAAAGCTTGCGATGAGTGTCTTTCATGCTGTACTTTGGATTTCTCCCAATCATTTGCCAACATAGCCAGCAAGACTTTTTGGAGCAACAAAAGTAGTCTAAACACGGCTCGACATTTGATTGCGAGAAATGCATCAGGAGCTGCATTTCACAATGGACGCGGGCCTTGTTACCAGCCGACCTCACAATTCCATCCATCCGCCCAAGTTGCGCTTCATTGAGGCTCAGATCGCCACTCCATGACTGGATCTTCTGCATGTAAGTTTCGCCAAGCCATTCATCCTCCTGTGACGGAAGTAATTGGTATTCGAAAGAATATCCGCTCTGCTTCTTGTCTGTGCAGAACTCGCAGAACTCGACATAAGCAGCAGGTGTCGACCAAGGTACTTGATCCACTTCACCACCTGAGCAAGACCCTTCAACTTGACCTTATTTCCCGAAGGTGCAGTCCCAACTTCACCAGCAAGAAATTGAAAATCATGGTGCCTGCGAACTTGGCCCGCCGAATGAGCAAGTTTTACCAATGGACAAGCTGTCTGGTTGCCAAAGTCTGTTAGGCTGGATTTAACACCTTGATACAGCTTGCATTCATCGATGATAGACTCGGCGACTTCCCACCCAGCCCTGCACTCCTTCTGCAGTTCATTTATATCGCACTAACTTATCTTTCCGATGTAATGTTCGAGACGGGATTGGCTGAATTTGCACATTGTCTTGAAAACATCCGGATGCTCGGTGTGAGTTGAGCCCTCCTTGGCTAGTGTGTTGAAGCAACGAACCAACTCATCTGCGAAGACCTTATTCTCGTTTGCCGCAACGCCTAGCTCGTCTCCATAGGCAAGAGGCCCATATCCCTTCTCGCTCTGATTCTTGGCGATGTAGAGTGTGATCTTCTTCTGCTCCTCGTTCCTCACCATCGCGGTAGCAGAGACGTGATCGCGAGCATCTTGGAGCTTGGAACGTGCAAAACAATCAGCAAGCCGGCCGAGGAAGTCCTGCGTGGCCTCGGGAGTCTCTGAAAAACGAACCAGTGGCTTTCCTTCGAATTCCCCTCTGACTACGTGAAGATAGAGGACAGCGGCATAGAATGTCTCCTTATCAAGACCGGGAAGTTTCCAGAGCGAGGGCTTAGGAGTGGGATGGGGCTTGAGTTTTGTAGTCTTGGTATATGGAGGCCGAAAGCTGAGAGGATCCGGCTCAGCATGGACAGCAACCGAATGCTCCTGGATCGAGATCCTGCTCGTGGCATTTTGAGACTGGGAGGGTTCGCTCGTGGAAATGGATGGTTGGTACTCGAGAGTTTAAAGCTCTTGGAGACAGAGCATGGGAGATGAAGGTTTTAATGGTAGGGAAACTTATTGGTGTATATGAGGCTGGAAGTGAATAATAATTAATTGCACGACGGGACTTTTTGGAGTATGAAGCATACGAACCGATCGTGAATAATGGTGTTGGCCTTCGATAACAGCTTCGAGTAAAGTATCTGCAATAGGAAAGCGGCGCCAGGGATCGTTATTGTCAGGACTGTCAAGTTAACGTAATCAAGAAGACATTGGCCTAGATCTCGCCCCAAAGATCTATTCTAATTCCTGGCTTTAAGTATACCTTCTAATCACATTGCTAGAGTTAAGTTCTAAGATGTTTAAAGTAAATCATTATACTATACCTCCTTAGCCGCTTTTGATGTAATATTTTAAGTAATTTTAGCAGAGGACCTTATGTAAACTAAAAAATACTAGTTGTAACGGGCTCAGTCTACTAGCCCCCTGGAATCACCCTTACCCGTAGTATATACGGGTGTAATGGAATGAACAGAAGAGTAAGAGGTAGTCCTATTGAAGATCTAAAGCTAAGGAGGAAAGGGGGGAAGGGGAGAAGCCAGAGTATATGCTTACGGACCTGTTACAGGTCTGGTTTCAAGCTAACCCCTTGACTAGCAGTCCGTAATTACCTGACCTCACGTGTGTACTCGTGACACTAGTAATTAGAATTTGTACTCCACTAGGGATAATAAGAGTCACGTATGTTTCTAGTACTACTAGTTAACTATTATTAATTAAGCCGCTGGAAAAAACCTTTAAATATATAATAATTATAATTATATATATTATAAGATTATTATAAGCTCCTTTAATACTATATATTATATCTGTAATAAAATTCTATAGCGTTTTTATATTATATAGAGTAATAATAAGGGTTTTGTCTTTATTCTTTTTTTCTTTTTCTAATTTATACTTATTAAGTAAAGAACTAGGTATTAGAAATATCTTAATTTGAATTATAAAGACCTTATTATTTTTATATTATTAATATATAGCAGTATCTTTTTAAAGTAACTAGCTTAAGCTCTTTTATTACGGGGTAGCTATATAATATTATAAATAGTAATTCCGTATATATATAAGGAGGATAAACTAAGGGGGAATATAAAGGGCTTTATATATAGCCCCTAAAGCTAAGCCTGATTAGAACGAGAGATTTATACTTACGAGCTAGATCTAAATACTAAGTATAACTTATTATATCTTTCTTAACTTCTTTTCTAATAATAAGAGTATTTTTATAATTCTTAAAACTATTCTTATAGGCTTTCTTAAAGAAATCTTTAAGTGATTTAAGCTTTAATATTATAAAGAGTTTTATATAATAAGAGTAAAAGGGAAAAATTAAAGAATAAAGAGAAATAAAATAGTATAAAATATATAATACTATTTAAAAAAGGAAAATAGCCTAGTAGTTAAGTTAGAGAGGAGTAAGAATTTTTAGAAAATAACGAGTAATAGCAAGTCTCTCTCCTTAAATAAGACCTTTATACTTTACCTTTATAAGCGATTATATATAATATAACGTGAATTTATTTTTATAAGGGCCTAGTTTAGGATCCTTAGAAGCCTGTTTAGGCTATCTAGGGATTATTACCAAAACTTAACAAAAATAATATAATAATGCCCCTAGCCTCTATCTAGCCTAATTAATTAAGGAGTTAAGATATTAACATATGAGAATAGTAGGCACTGGCTCAGGGGCCGCTCAGGGGCTGCTCAGGTTGCTCAGGCAGCTCAGGTGAGCTGGGTGAGGAGAGGGTGAGCCGAGGGTGATAAGCGCCTGAGTAGAAGCGGCAAGCTTACTAACCGAGCTTGGGAGAAAGAAAAAAAAAGTTGTGCCAGACTACCAAAGTAACTTGGATGATACGGAATCACTTGCCTAATGTCGGAGCGCCCATTCAGGTAAAAAGCTTTGGCAACAGGATTAAATTCAGTTTCCGTGTTGGGGAAGTGAGAGCTAGCGGCAGATGGGTTGTAGACATATCAGATCAATCCAAAAAATTCTGCCACGTTATTTTGACTTTCGGGGGTTCGCACTGGTATTTTGGATTTATGTCTCGAAGCCACACGAGAATCGTAAATCGATTTGAGAATACAATTCGATATAATCAATCTCTAGTCCGAAGGTAACATGAGGGTTGGATTGAACACCTGGTTGGCACCGACACTTCCTCCACCATCATGTGGAGTGACCGAACAGTCGAACGGAAAGTTGACACTCTCCAGCAGACTTCGAGAAGGAGCAGTGCGGTAGGGAGTCTCATACCATGATATCTGGCTCGTAGCGTGGAGTAACGGCTTGTAAGAGACTTGCCACTCGCTGGTATCGAGGTATTTACTCGAAGCTGAGATCAGCTCCTTGTAAATACCTAACGTTGATACTGGCTCTACTGAGGCCATTAGCGGGCTAGTCGACAAAACCGAGAAGCGAAAAGTAATTTTCTGATTTTTTGATTTTCGCGCCCGCACCCCCCCCCATACCTTACTAAAAAAAAAAGTACAGCATACACGCCTTATTCTCGACTACTCCTAGCCCCCCCTTAGCTTACGTAGTCCGTAAGGCAAATCCCATAGATTACAAGGCATATCTCCATCTCCCTTACTCTTTATATTCTCTATACTACCTATATTACTCGAATTATCTATATCTCCTTTATTCCCTTCTCCTCTAGTATTCTTACCCTCTACTGCTATAACCTCCTTCCCTATTGCCTTCTGACCTTATATCTGTCTTTATACTCGCTTTCTATATCTTATAGGCGGTCGAGGCTTTAGTATAAAGGGTTTTGCAGATACGGAGCAAGGCTTTCCAGACTTAGTAGAATTAGTATTAAGTTAATAGAAAATATAGATTTTATTATTATTATTATATCTGTAATTTATATAAGTGCTATTGAATTTGCCTTCTATAACTATATAGTATTTGAAAGGGCCTCTCGGTCTCTTCTTATTACTATAAGTAGTATAAGCTTAAAAGAATTCGGTTCTATAAGTATATACTAAGCTTGCTTTTAGATTTGCCTTGCCTTTCTCTAATTCCTTTAGCTTTCTGCCCTAATATAGCTCTATCTTTCTAACTTTAGCCTTATTATTAATTCGCTTTACTACTTTAGTAGTATTATTAGATAGTATAAGGAAATTAAAGTATTATTATAAAGGAAGAGAAGAAAGAAGAGGTTATATATAAAGAGGAGGCCGAGAAGTAGAGGGATTTATTAGTTAAATATATTAATAAAAGAGAATATTATAAACTAAGTCTAGATTATTAGAGAATATATTATAAATATTATTTTTCCGCTTATTTATAGCTTTATTGCCTTTTCTACTGCTTTTATTTTTACTAAAGCTACTATTTAAAGCTATATTTAATATATCTTTAATAAAGGAAAGCTTTAATAATAGTATTATATATTAGAATTGAAATTATTTTTAGAAAAAAGTTAAGATTAAGGTTAAAGCTAAGGTTAAAGCTAATATAGTTATATCTTTATTATTTACTTTTAGGATATAAAAGATATATATTTAAATATTAAAAAAATTATAATTTTAGATACTATAATTATAAAGATAAAAATAAAAATATTCTTTTTTTTATTAACTTATAAAAGCCAAGATATACTAATAATAATTAAACTATACTTAATTTATATAATTAGCTAATTTACTTTACTAATTATAAATAATTTAATATAATTTAAATCTCTTTAAATCTCTATATATAGCTTATTATATAAATTTCTATATCTTTATATTTAGTAATACTATAATTATAATTTTTAAATAAGAAGAATTCCCTGATTTTAGTATATATAATTATATTTATTTCTTATTTTTCAAATATATAGTTATTAAATTAGAGAGACTTAAAAATTCTAAGTAATACTTTCTTCTAAAAAATATATATTCTTAATAAATAATAGAAGTAAATATAAAATTATATAATAATATAACTATTTTATACTAGTATCTTTATTTTCTATAAAACTATAACTTTATTTTATTTTTACTTTAAAACCTTTATTTTTCTTCTATATTTTTTCGACTTTACTATTAATACTAAAAGCTTTTACCCTCTACTAATATCTTCTCTATTAATACCTTTATTAATACCTCTATTAATACTAAGAGCTAGTATCTAACTGCCTTATAACCTTTCCCTTCTCTTTTAAATCCCTTTTCCGAACCCCTTTTCTAAACCCCTTCTCCGAATTCCTCCTCCTTTAGTACTTCTACTAATAATACTAAAAGCTAGTATCTAATTTCTACTTCCGAGTTACTTTTATCCAGAACTTCTATACTATAAGTCTTTAACCCACTTACTTCTTAGAAAGCTAAATTTTAAATTCTTTCTCTCCTTCTCTAATATCTCCTTCTCCTCTTTTCTAATATCTCTTATACCTTTAGGCCCTTTAGAAATACTCTCTTTTAAACTTCTAAAAAAGAGGTTAACTTCTATTTAGATTTCTCCGAACTTTAATATCTTCTCTTCTCCTTTAATATTTATAAAAGCCTTTAGGCTACTACTAAATATCTCTATTCTTTATCTTGAAATATATACTAACTTATTCTTATAGGAAATAGCCCTTTTT